AGCCAGCGAACGAGCGCAAAATAGTGGGGTCTATGGTTCCAGAAAATTTCGAAAATCAAACATCATTTGATGCATTCTGAGCAATTTCAGAGCATATATTTTGCATATTTCATTTTTCAGTTCACTGAAATATTTTATTTCACAGATTAAGTTGAACAGAATTAGAACAGAATCGTCTTTTAACACGACGTTAATGTATTTTAGTAATAATTGTGACGCCGTAATAATGAACCTAATGAATGCTTTTAGTTGTTGGAGCAAGTTAGACTTACATGTATCTCTTATTTTAGATTCAACAAAATAATAATTATCTTTAAATTCGATTGTCTGGCAAAAGTACACCACCTCCTGCTAATGTCGATCTGCAGTCTCCTATTAAGTATCATTGAAAATAAGATAGCTTTCGAAAATATCTACATTATTAAACGACAAAAGCCCTTTAAAAGTTGAGAATTGCATGATATAATAAAACTAGCGCTATTTTTCGTAAAAATACGTTAAATTCGTTAATTTTCTAACTTAATTGCCTAATGGAACGAATACGCGGTAAAATCCGAAAATGAGCCGTCCGTCCTCTGTTACCCCTCACGAGATCCAAATACCCCATTCTGAAAAATGGACGGACAAAAAGTACAAAATACCCCATCCACGCGCCAGATACCCCATGTCCACGCGCCTAATACCCCATTATGGGGTAAAAGGCGCGTGGCACGCGCCAGATACCCCATGTTATTTCCTTCCGTCCGTCCGGGCAATAACTCAAATACCGTTGGCCCGATTTTGTTCATATTTTGTACACATATACCCTAGGGGGGTAGAAGTTCTGCCCGAAAGCCGATTTTCAAAATGGCCGCTCATTTCAAAATGGCGGCCATTTTAGTGCCGATTTTACAGTAATTTAGGTGTAATATGTAAAACTGTAATAGCAATATGTTTTAAATGTAAAAAAATTATAAAGGACATTAATAATGCTACAAATGTAGATATTAAAGAAGCACATGGCAGCCATCTTGAAAAATGGCGGCCTTTACTCGTCATTTTACGATTTTTGCTATAACTCAAAAAATAGTGGAGCGATTTTGTTCATATTTGGTATGTGAATACTATAAGCATTGCACACTGTCTAAAGACACTTTTGGCGGAAGGTGGCCATTTTGAAAAATGGCCGCCATTTTAACATATTTTACTATAACTCAAAAAGTAGTGGAGCGATTTTGTTCATATTTGGTATGTGAATACTATAAGCATGGCACACTGTCCTATGACACTTTCGGTAGAAGGCGGCCATTTTGAAAAAAATTTTGAAAAATGGCCGCCATTTTAATGTATTTTACTATAACTCGAAAAGTAGTGGAGTGATTTTGTTCATATTTGGTATGTGAATACTATAAGCATGGCACACTGTCTATTTCTAATGACACTTTTGGTAGACAGTGGCCATTTTGAAAAATGGCCACCATTTTAACGTATTTTACTATAACTCGAAAAGTAGTGGAGCGATTTTGTTCATATTTGATATGTGAATACTTTAAGCATGGCACATTGTCTAATAAAACTTTGGGGAGTAGTCGGCCATTTTGAAAAATGGCCACCATTTTTATGTGTGTTATTTTACAAGTACGTTTGCGATTTTTTAAAAATTTTAGAGGTGGCTACTTAAAAGCATATTATTTCTTCTGATGACAACTTGGCTAGTGAGCAACCATTTTGAAAATGGTGGCCTTTCTGGTGTGTTGTTTTATGATATTTGCTTTTCGTTTGTAAAAATGCCAGCCATTTCTGTTCGATGGGATTCGCTACGCTTTGGCGTTGCCGTTGTTCTGGTTAAATCTTAAAATAGCTCAAATTATTAACATTTCTACAATTCCGGCTTTATTTTATGTCTAGAGAGATGACAGATCCATAAATAAAGGCATATGGATGCACTTTAATGTGTAATAACCCGAGGGCGCCCCGCAGGGGAATAATTAACTAACGATCGCGAGCATGGGTCGAACAAGCCAGATAAAGAAATTGAAAGAAAGTGTGCTAAATGCGATGCTCCGAGTGGGAATCGAACCCAGCTGTGATGTAGTAGCAACTTGCTATTGTGGGAAATTTAGAAATTCCCCATTTTTTTTATTTATAATTAAAATGTTATAGTATTTTTTCAAGAAAGAAGTTTATTTTTATATGTCATTCACACTTAATGTACTGTGAGTAAGTTAAAGAGTAACCTAGGAGTAACCATAAACTCAATGAGTAAGTTGGGAGTAGGAGTAAGAGTAACCTTACTCTTTGCTTGTGCGGGAACCCTTGTCCTAGAATTGGTCAACCCATAGGAGAAATATACCACATGGTTATGAGTCATCAGCAATTAGAGGCTACTTGATTGACATTGCTATGGTGATTTCCCACAATGCATTACCAAATGGAGTAAACACACCAGCTCAGTCCCGCTATAGCCAATCAGATCGCTTCCCTATGCATCTAATTAGAGGGTTGAGACAGCACATGATCTGATCCCCTGATGTTAGTCTGGCTGGAGTAGTTGAAGTGTAAGGACCTGTAGTGTCATTTACAGAAGCTGGCTCAAGAAGTTGATGGAAGATTGTGATTTTCCTGGTGGAATTGATGTCAATTCAAGGAGTGTTGAACTCTCGAAAGGAGGATAGAGTTTAACCAAGTGACGGACGGAGTTTATTGGATTATTTCACACTGTTTGTGGCTGAAACAGACAGTGACACGTGGATATTTAGCCATTTGGCCAAAGATGTTATTGGCGTCCAGGGAGAGCTGCTAGGGAGATTGCAGTCTAGAGGCGCTTAGAGGACGTTTGTCAGAGTTTGTGAGTGTTAATCTAGTTTTATAATTCCTTTTTTCCTTCCGGTCCACGTGTAGTTCAAGTCTAATCTCACGTTTACTCCTTGGCCTTACGGTATCTACCAGTGAGCTCAGAGTACTTGTTACTCTAAGCAGAACTACCAGAGAGTAAGCCAAGAGTTATCTGTGAGTTCTGAGAGTAACCTGGACCAGAGGAGTAAATGGCAGTGGCTAGGAGTAAAGAAGAATAGCGGGAGTAAAACCTTAGCAGATGACAGACGACTAAATCACGTTTACTCATTGGCCTTACAGTATCTACCAGTGAGCTTAGAGTACTTGTTACTCTAGGCAGAACTACCAGAGAGTAAGCTAAGAGTAATCTGTGAGAACGAGGAGTAAAGAACTGTGGTCGGGAGTAAAGAAGAGTAACTCGGGCTGAAGAAGAGTAATCCTGAGTAACCAGAACAGAGGAGAGAGCACAGCGGAGCGGCGAAGAGTAACTCGGGCTGAAGAAGAGTAATCCTGAGTAACCAGAACAGAGGAGAGAACACAGCAGAGCGGCGAAGAGTAAAGAAGAGTAACTCGGGCTGAAGAAGAGTAATCCTGAGTAACCAGAACAGAGGAGAGAGCACAGCAGAGCAGATAGGAGTAAAGAGTAAGCAGAGCAGAATCCTGAGTAAGCAGGACAGATAGGAGTAAAGAGTAAGCAGAGCAGAACAGATAGGAGTAAAGAGTAAGCAGAGCAGAATCCTGAGTAAGCAGGGCAGATAGGAGTAAAGAGTAAGCAGAGCAGAGCAGAAAGGAGTAAAGAGTAAGCAGAGCAGAATCCTGAATAAGCAGGGTAGATAGGAGTAAAGAGTAAGCAGAGCAGAACAGATTGGAGTAAAGAGTTAGCAGAGCAGAATCCTGAGTAAGCAGGGCAGATAGGAGTAAAGAGTAAGCAGAGCAGAGCAGAAAGGAGTAAAGAGTAAGCAGAGCAGAATCCTGAATTAGCAGGGCAGATAGGAGTAAAGAGTAAGCAGAGCAGAGCTGAAAGGAGTAAAGAGTTAGCAGAGCAGAGAGGAGTAAAAAGTAAGCAGAGCAGAGAGGAGTAAAGAGTAAGCAGAGCAGAGCAGAAAGGAGTAAAGAGTAAACAGGGGCAGAACAGAGTAAAGCAAAACAGAGTCAAGAGTAAGCAGAACAGAGTCGAACATAAAGCACAGCAGATAGCAGAGACGAAACCAAAACAGAATAGAGAGTAAAGCCGAGTAGAGTACAACGAGAGAAGAGCAACGACACAACTTACATTCGATTATTATAATGACACTGAGTTTTATTTGTTAAATTATAGTGTTAATAAATTATAAAAACTGTATATCTGTATTTTGTATGCGTATGTGTAACCATCTCCCCTTTCAGTGAAAGCAGTACCACCAAACCAGGTCTGCGCCCACATAAGACCAGTGAGAATCCCATAATAAATAAATTGTTCGTGACCCGACCCAGGCCTGTCAACTGTCCCGCAATTTGCGTATTTGTCACGCATTTGCTGAAGAATTTGAAGTCACGCCAGTTTTTTTTGCGTGACAGAAAATGTCACGCAAATACGCATTTTACCTGGTAATTGTCACGCAAAAATATTTCTGTAGAAAATTTTTCAAAATATGTTGACGATACGGTAAAAATACGAACGTCGGAAAAAACCGAACGCAATTTGTTCGGAGTTGTCACGCGAATCCCGAATCACGCATGTTAATTGAAAATTTTCGTTGACAGGCCTGCCGACCACAACCACACTACCAGATTTTGGCCAGGTCCGACACTATTAAGGTTCGTTACAAATGCATCCATAAATTGATTTAATAAACTAAGATCTTTAAAATTGAACCCTTCAAAGACTGTATCATGTCCCACGTACGTGGGTAGGTACATGTAGGTATGAGGTAGAAGGTTTTTATACAAAGCCCATTTTGTTACCGTAAATAATCAAAAGTAGCACCCCCCCCCCCTGGCCTCCCTCAGCCCCTGGCATGATTTAAATAAAATACAGTCATCTGGGCTGCCAGTACATGTCAGAGAGCAGAATAGACCAGAGATTGGAAGATTACATGCTTATTAGATATGCCACTTGTGTTTCCCATGGCATGGCGGCGTAGAATTCTACGAACATAGTTAACTGTTTGGGTAAAATATAGCGTTCGTTAATTTGCCGAAACAAGCCCGGAAGTAAACAAACTTAAATCTTTTGCAAATTTGAAAGATGCAAACATGTTTATTATGTGACTTTACTCTACTCTCTGTGAATCTACAATATGTTCACGTAAGGGCAATTTAATTTTCTATATCTGACGCAAAGTTGTTTCAATCAAACGCGTACGAAAGCCCATCGGGATGCTACTGTACGCAGTCAAAATTATTTTTTGTGTGAGTAAAAATCAGCAAAGGCCAAGGGTGCATAATTATGGAAAAATAAAACAGAAAGAGCACTATTACCCTAGAGACTCAATATTTGTATATTTTGCATTTTTGGTTTGGCTTACAAATTCTGAACTCTTGAATTATCATGGGCTCTACTTACTCGAGTCTCTAGGGCTTTGGACCGAAGTAAGGCTCTACCACCCTGATAGAGCCCATGGAATTATGCTGCACAGGAAGTGGTATCAAGTACATTTTGTTTTTTCTTCTTTATCCTAAACACTGTAATATTGTCGACTGAACACTTGATGCAGTTTACAATCACTCGATGCAACTAAAACATACGACTTATTCGCCCTCTGGTCTGTGGAGCTATTAGGACGTCCTCACACTTGAACCTTATCCTGTGGCAGGACTGCCAGGACTAGTCATGGCACGGGATAAGCTTCAGGTGTGAGGTTGCCCTAATACGTGCTTAATTATATAAAATTTTGCTCAACCGCAAGATTTCAATACACGAGTAGATGTAGTTATGGGGATTTGAAAATCAACTCCACATTTATGGGGGTACTCGCAATTGTCTTAACGTCCTCAGTACAGGTTAAGTGGTCAGTTCTGACGACACAGTCCTAAACATGATCATGCAATCAACAGGACTTATTTATCCTATGGCTTTTACGTGATGACAAGCATGAGGGGAAATGTTTTGATTTCTACAGATGTATGTTGTGATCAGACCAGAAAAAAAAACTGGGCCCAAAAAAAGTTTTGGGCAAAAAATGACCTAAGGCCCCAAAAAAGTGGGCCTTTTTGGTCATTACTTGGTCTTGTAAGGCCTTATTTTTTAATTTCAGGCCAAATTTTGAAGAAAATGGGCCTCAAAATTTGTTTTAGGGGCCCAAAAATTTTTTCTTTGAAAAGAAAAGTACGTTTTTTTTTCTTTGACCTGAAATTTGGGCTCCCCCTTGTTGGTTCCCAGAACTGCCCCTGTGTTGTCAGGCAATGACGTCAACCATTCTTGGATGTCACGTTGAATGTTACTGAATGGATTATCGCTCAAGGATTGGGAAGTGATCTTGGTTTCCAATCCTCATTTTCAAAGCATGGCCTCAAAATTAACATAGCAGAAAATCCCTAAATTACAACAGGCCTTACTAAATGGTCCTTTGATATCTTAATTTTTAGGTTTGATTGACTCCTAACATCTATTTTGACTGTAGATATCTTGAACTACATTTGAAGTGGTGGATAATATCCCAGATGCGAGTAGAAATAACCTTGATTTACGTCATTAAAAATTCACAATTCAGTCAAACTGGTGTCATATTTGGAATCTACATGTAAAATTACATTTAGAAATGTGGTTTTGAAAAAAGTTTATCAACTTTGAAAATTTAATTTTCTTTGAAAATGTGACTTCTAGGTCGGGGAGATTCCCCATAGACCCCATGTTGTAAAACCACAAAAAGTGAAATATCTTTTCTTGTGTTGGGCAGATAATATTTTCTTTTACTGGACATATTTTAATTTGTATAACTATCAGATACATAAGGGTAATATGAAATGTGAACCACTAAAACTGATGCATATTCAAGTTTAAGGGAATTTTGTAATACCCTGCCATGTTAATTCCCCCGAATCAGCCACCTGGTGGCGAAACTGGTAACTACCTACTCGCATCTGAGTTATTAGGGATGACATTCTCACTTGTAAAACCATAAATGATCTCAAAAGGTTCTGATTAGTTCTTATTTTCTGGAAATAGAGAAGGTAAGGAGGAGGTGGGGGGGGGGGGGTGTTTGCATTTCTATCCTTATGCTTTAATATGCCATGCATATACTTAGGGCTTGTATATATCAATAGCTAACTACCTTTTGCATTCATTCGTCTTTACGTCTTAAAAGAGAGCTTCGTCTTCAAATTTTCAGTTCACTTTACACAGGTTATAGCTTATCTTTTACTTTGCTAGGTCTTTATTATGATGCAGATTTGCTTATCAACAATACACTATTGAAACAGCATGTTTTGTATTCATATATCTCTTGAAAATAAACATGCTTTTATTATCAGTGTCTGAGTGTGAATCAGGATCATAGTCCATGTATTCTTAGATAATATACACTATTCCAAAGTTAGGCAAAAGCAAATAAGTACATGTACAATGTTTAACATTACTTTATAATATAATGTCCAGGGTACAATTTTGTTTGTGGGGTAAGGTAGGGTGCATGTATGAGTTCCTTAAAATTTTGAGAATATGAGAAAAAACTTACTGTTTATCTTAAAAAATCAATTACATGTATAAAATGTTAAGCATAGAATTTTGTTACCTAGCCTTATCATACAATTTTCAATATAGTTTATTACAAATGAAGTGTTCAACTTAGTTTCATGTAACATTACATACTTTTTTATTAATTAAAGTGGACATATTTTCATAAATGTTTGTCAACTTAAATTGAACTCTCTCTAACCCAATGACTAGTGTTTCCAATCTTTGGCTATATTAAATGGTAGAACATTTAATTAATGAAACTTTTGATTGGAAGTGTTGGAGGATAAGTAATTTATTTATTGGCAACTTCTACTTCTATTATATATAATTTGTATTTACAAATTTTGTTTATTTTTTACAGTGAGGATACGCAATTTGGACGGTATGTAGTCTAGTGGTGCCTTGACTGCTCGGATGGTTGGAAGACTTCAAATTGAGGAAATACACATACCAGGACTACTGTTCAGTTTTGGAGTCTTCAAAAACAATTGTGCAACATGTGACAAAGTTAAATTAACATATTATTGATATCATCAGAGAGACATTGACTCATAATTGTTCCCCGAAATGGAGGTTTGTTTTTTGAGTGCAGTACAAGGTCCCCTTCAAGCATTCTTGAGGCCAGGACTTTGGTTCCCAGGATTAAATCTTCTACATACCTGTACAGAACAGTGAGTTGCATTGAATGTACATTAAAACTTGTGAAGTGGAACACCTTAAGAAGTGGAACACTTCTGTTATTGGAACACCTTTTGGAGTCTTGGGACTTATTGTTAAATATGAACCTCTATAAATGGAACACCTCCCAAGTGGCATACTTTTCAGAGTCCCAAGACCAACTGACTTATTGTTAAATATGAACCTCTATAAGTGGAACACCTCCCAAGTGGAACACTTTTAAAGTACCAAAAGTGTTCCACTTAGACAGGTTTCATCTTAGAACCAGTGCTAGTGAAACACAATCGGCATACCAAAATAGTGTTCCACTGAGGAGGTATTCCACATGAAGTTAATGAGTAACTGGACTTTGAATTGTTCCACTTAAGGTGTTCAATTCATAGAGGTGTTCCACTTTACACAATTTAGTGTAAATTAAATCTTATTTCATACCTTTTATCCTGTAATTTATGATTTCACGCAATTATTCTTGTTAAATCATGTATCATTTCACATCACAATAGCTCATTTCATTTTGTATTAATTAATGTAATATAATCATATCATATACAATTCTTTTGATACCTATGTTAACCCAACTTGTGCAAAATATGTTCTTGGCATGTGTATATTAATGTAAAGTGCTTTTAATTTATAGATGGGTGTCGACTGAGCCCCCTGATGTTCTCTTAGATGATTTAGTTCACAGTATAGAAGCATACAGTCAATTAGAACAGAGAGAATCCTGGTGCAATATTATCCAGCTACATAAAGTAAGTTCACCTGAAAGATGGAAACTTTGTGTGCCTGAGTTTCTGTCAAGTTATAAAGAACTTGAGTTTTACATTTATAGCGATGAGACTACTGTTTAGATCTTTCATAGAATTTATTATTTATTGGAAACGTTTTGTGAAAACGACATCTTTCTCCAAGTTTTCTACATTTGATCTACTGTTTTTGTGTCTCTTTAGACAGAATATTTGGTTTGAAATGGTTAGAAAGATTGTTTTATTTAATGAAATTTTTTCTCCTAGTGTAGTATGCATTAAATAGTGTAGTAAATAATATACATACATATGTATGTTCAAACTTTACACGGGGCCTTTAAAATGTACTGAAGTCAAATCAATGTGTTTAGGTGGATAGAGAGAATAACAGAGTAACAATCCTAGCTTACACTAGGGCAGAGTGGCTAGATGTGGTGGAGATTGACTTTAACACAGGAAAGGTAAACTCAAGTTAGTGGATATAAATATTGCATTGAAAAGTAATATATACACCCTAGGGTGTCCAGCAGCTTGATTTTTATAGTGTATATTATATAAGAATTATGAAATAAATAAATTGAATTGAATTTTAAAAAAATTGAAAATGTTTATGTCCATGAAGAGTACAACACATATCAGTATTGTAATAATAAAATATAGTGCCTCATATGTATAAAGTCTATCCTATCTGTAATGAACACTTTTTGGGCCACAAAAGTATGAACTTATTTTTTTTTTTTTTTTTTTTTTTTTTTTTTATTTATTCAATACACTTATTCGATCCATTTACTACATTCAATATAACATTTCAATACATTCAATACAACAAATCAATATATCTGCGAAATCAAAAAAAAACACTGTTACCCACCATGTACATAATACTATTATAGTTTAAAATCTAAATACATTTTCTTAATTAAAAATTTCTACACATCTTTTTAACCATATTTTCCGTTTAATAATAAAAATTTCACTATTAATCTCTATCATGTTTTCTAATGAGCTATCTTCTCTAAAGTAAAAAAGCATTTTATCTCTTTCAATTAAATTAGTACTTTCTAAATTGTCCCATTCATTTTTGAATTTACATTCTAAAAAAAGGTGTTCTTGTGATTCCTCAACATTTTTACAAACTTTACACATTCCATCAGATAATTTTTGTTTTTTCAATCTTCTTTCAATTTCTATTGCACCATTTATTACTTTATATATGAATTCCTTTACTTTATGATTTACATTTGTCTTAAAAAGTACTCTATACATTAACTTAAATAGGACCTCACCATATTGATTTTTCCAATGGGCTTCTGATTTATTTGTCACCCCTCTTCTACTAACAATTTTCTTTCTTATATTACATGTTTTTATTTTCTCTATATTTTCCCCTAAAAAAGTTATTTTTTCATTCCTATTGATTTTATTTGGATATTTTATCAAAGCTGCTCTTACTTGTACATATTGCATATAGACATCTGGGCCTCTGCCTAATTTATTAATTATTTCATTGTATGTTAAACATTTACCTTCTATTATAAAATCAGACACATAATTAATCCCCCCTCTAATCCATTTTTTGTCATAAAGAACTCTTTTTTGAAAAGTTATGTCCAGATTGTATGAACTTATATACAACAGTAAAACCTGTCTTAAGTGGATCACATTTCATACCTCTCAAAAGTGTTTCACTTGGAAGGTGTTCCCCTTATATGAATCATTTAACATACAGTCAGTTGGTCTTGGGACTGAAATGTCTCACTAACAGAGGTGTTCCACTTCTAGAGATGTTCCACTTTACAGGTTCCACTTTACAGATGTTCCACTTCTACAGGTGTTCCACTCTATTACTATAGGTAGGTGTTCACTGCAGAGAAGTGTTCTCCTTACTCTGAAATGTAATACTCTTAAATGTAATAACTACATGTAACATGGTTCAGTATCAGTTTAAAGTTTACTCTTTTGCATTTTTCAGGCTAGGTCATTCTCTAGTGGTATTTTCCCAACATTCCTGCCTCTTGCAGTGTTGCTCAATTGTGTAAGTATGTTAGTATAGTTTGGGAAATTGTCACTTTAAATCACACATTTAATTCATTTGTATGTTACCACCAGGGCGTGGTTACATTTTGTTATGACCAAAATTTCTTGTAACTCTAGAAATTATATAGAAATTCTAGAAAATAAGTCAGTTCTTATAGATTCTAGAGATAAATGATATCTAAGCAGCTTCTTGAAAATTGTTACATTCTTGTCAATACAGAAATTATAACAGCAAAGAAACAAAAAAAAACAATAAGGCATTAAAATGCAAAACGTGCCACCAGCCATTTGTTACAGACCTGGGTCGTCAAACACCAAATACCAACCACTGATCGCCAGACACCATTCACAAAAAAGTTGGAGACTGAAAAATATGTCACCACTTATTGCTGTGACATAAAAACAAAATGATTTTAATTTTACTCAATCTTTTATTTTATTTCCAGGTTTTGTTCTTTGTGCCTTTCCTGGATCATGGTGTTAATAAGAAAAGACTTGATAAACTGAGAAGTCTAATGACATCAGCAGTTGGCGTAGATACGGAGGAACAATCCTTAATAACCAATGAACATTGAAACATGACTCTATTTTTCTCCACTTTTCTCAAAATAAGTGATGGAAAAAGTTGCTAGAATGTGTGAGTGGCCCTGTTATAGAACCAGTGTTGTTAACTTCAGGAGCCATTGTAAATATTGATGATTCTTAGAAAGCTCCATGGTGTTAACTCTGAGTTCAAATGAAATGATGATTTTAAACATGGTGGTGCTTATCTAAACTAAGTGGTGCAATTTGAATTTAATTTATTAGTTTACATGGTGAAACATTTGGAATCCAGATTCTACTCAGTTTAGTTGAAATCGTTGGTTTATCGAAACCGAAAGAATGTTGACCACCATTTTGAATGATACTAACTGCAGTTAGAATCATCCAGGTGTGGAACACATGTTTTTAAGAGAACTTGTACATACTTGAACGTGTATTATAATAATACCAAGAGATTACTCAGTCGCCCTCTTAATTGTGTTTTCAAGGGAGTTAATGTCAAATGGTAACCTAACTCAATTGGGTAAGTAATGCCTCAGTCACTTTGATCAAGGGCAACCATACGACGACAGTAGGTTCACAAAATCGAGAGAAATGTGCAGCATAAAATATACGAATAAGCAGTACAATGAGGATTTTCTTTGTCGATTTTGTGAAGCTACGGCCGCCGTAGAACAAATGTGACTGATGCTTTAATATCACAAAGGGAAGAAACTAATTCTGGAAGACCAGAAATTCGATATCATGTCCACGTACAAGTCGGCTTAAAAACGTGGAGCTAACCTCGGTATTGTCTAATGGAGAACACCTAATCCAAGAACCACAGTTTGAGATACTAGCCCAGAGCTGTTAAGTTTTGATATTAGGCAATTTATGTTTTCACAACGTAACTTGGAAAATAACATGGCGATTACAGTGTAGGACATATTTCAGTTTTGACCGAAAAGGTCTGAAATTCCTATGAGAAACTCTGAGTTAGAAACATATGAATATTTATCAACACAGATTTTACACATAATTCATATTTTGTATACCATTAATTGTGTAGCAAATTACTTTTTTAATGTTGTGAAACACGTCATCCTTGTAGGTAATGTTCCATGTTTTCTTGGATCTGAAATAATCATACACGCCTTTTATATATTTTTAATTTTAGAAGACGTATTGTGTTTTAACCAGGGTAACAAAGTACATGTATGTGTAGTATAGTACTAGATTAGTGTGCAATCATATAAATATTTTCCAATTGTTAAATATAGTTTTAACTATTTTACATAAGATAAGGACATCATTTCTGTTATTTTCTGAGTCACTTATTATTGCAGAATTTGCAAGAATGTAAGCCCTTTTTATTCAAGTACCATTCTTGAACACAAAATGATTTGAAATTCAAGGTCTAAAGATTTCCCTATAGTGAATCTCAGGCTAATGGTATTGGTCCATAACCGAACATATCAAAATCCATTTGATAAATCTTATATATTTGCTCCCTTTTGTGGAAAGAGTTATTCAAATTAGAATAAGCCTCAAGAACTTTTCCTTTAACTCCTGATGAACCATTTGGAAAACGTCTCTTCTCTCCGAGTTTATCCAAAACATAGTTGGAATCCTCAACAAGAGTTTCATAATGGATGATGGTGTCATAGGGCACATGACAAGGCATACAAAGGTCATAATATGGTTTCCAATGTTCGTCAATCCAGCCATTTTTGAAGTCTCTTTCTAAGAGATAATCCGTAAATTCATCAAATGTGACGTCACAACCGGACCCATCCCCTACAGTGAAGTTTTTTCGATATTTTTCAATGATAGATTTCCCATATGTGTTACAGTACCAAAACTGACCAGATTTGTATTTGTTGAACTTATTTTGCCACGCTGATAGTAATCGTTCAAACGGATTTCGTACTACCATGAATTTTAAATAGCCCTGCATGATCTGGAGTATCTTTTGTTCTGAATATAAATTCAGATGTTTCAAACCTATATCTTTAGTAAGTTTGTCGAAATTTTCATCTGCGTCGTTATACGAGATGTTATAGTGCATTGCCATGAACATTTTTCTCCACGTCGTTGTGGCAGTTTTTGGTACAAAACAATACAAAAACTTGTATTTATCGTCTACATATATAGAACTAGACGTATAGAGGATATTTAAGTTCCATATTGGTTCTCTACTAGCGTTTTTCGTTGAAGTGAACTTCCCCCCACACATTGGCGGTATTCGACTTCGTCTTAACATCATCCTTTCTTCCATAGGATCTGTGTCAATGTTGGCTAGATCTTTTTCAGAAGCACTGTCATCAGGCCATTTGGGCCTCAAGACAACCTCACTAGATGCACCAGGAACAGTTTCGTTTACTTCTGTCTGTAACAGATGCAGGGTGAAATCATTAATTATCTCTATCGCTCCCATGATTAGATATCATTCTTGAACGTGCAACAAAGGAAACGTAAAAAGATTTTTTTAAATGTCAAAATTTGAAGTTTCAAAGGAATACTTCTATATTACACGTGCAAAAAGGAAACGAAAAAGAGTTTTTTTAAATGTCACAATTTGAAGTTTTAAAGAAATACTTCTAGATAACACTTATAGGTCGAGCCACTTTAATATCTAAAGTTAAAGACATAGTTTATAGGTCAACCCCTGGGCTTATTGATGAACATATAACAAATGATAAAGTACAACTTAATAGCATCCATATACTACTAACTGAATTCGAAAGTAAAACATTCAGCATATGTATATAACAAACCCCGTCAAATCATATTAACCATTTTATGCTTTTATATAGTAAATGTTAAAGACATACCCCAATGTAGACAACTGTGGTTATAACGTACATCACACAAAACGCCAAAATCATCGGTATAAACAGTCTTCTCATAATGGCAAACCTTTGCAATCGTGTGTTGAAGCATTCCGCCATTTTTATTTAAATATTTCAACTCATGGCTGTGTCCCTTTAAGTTTGTAGCGACTTATGTGATTTATGCGGCTGTAAACCATTTACAGTTTATAAGTGCATATAAACTTCTTCACATTCTTCATAAACTTCATATTCAAGGGTCACATCTCGTTTTATTACTCATTGCTCGTTTGTTAAGTAGTTCATTACTCTGCATTGCGTATCGTGATAATTTTATTTTCTAAATCAAAATTTCCCCATATTATTCACTATGTACTGAAGTACTATGAAGGTGTTTAGACATACTGTTTTATTAGGAGTGCCAGAGGCAAAACAAACAAAAAATGAGGCAATATTTCACGACAAACGAGGCAATATATCAATCTGTCATATGGTAGATACTACAGGGTGTCAACTAAATATGTTCTCCCCCTTAATTTCAAAAGTATGAAGTTTTGTGCAAGTTTACAGAGTTATGTAGCTCAGTTTTGTCCTCAGAATATTTTTCAATAGTTCGATTGCATTTATCAAGCATTATAGGGTCTTCTTTATACATCTCGGGAGGGTTTCTTTGACATGATGTGTGGCCATCAGATTCTCTTTCCGGCAGGACATCTACCTGATCTTTTGGAAAAGTCCCTTCTCCTTATACATGCTTGACTCCATTGAGGTTGGGGCTAATATGCGGAGAATTCGTCATTGCCAAAAATTCAACATTCAATTAATGATTTTATTTGCTGTTGTATCAGGAGTTTCAATGCATGCTTGCAATATTTGTGCACCAACTGCCAATACACTATTTTTTCTTTTGATTTTATTTAGATATTTCTTCTGAAAACCTTTTAACTTGCTTCTACTACAAGTTCATAATAAACAGTGATTTTGTTGTTAAAATACATATGAGATTGACGCTGAAAGCTGACATTAGCCAGTATTTGCCGAATTGTCCCCAGGGCAATGGGATTCGGCTGCAAGCCTCTTCTCACAAACCCCCTTTCCACCATTTTGGACAAACAATGCCATCCTTCCTATTTCATTTGCAATACCAGTCTAATCTTAAATGATAACGTTTGTCCCAGCATGCATAGCTTCGCATCAGATTCTGCCAATATATCCATTTGAATCATCATCAATAATGAGAGTCATTATAATTCAAACTCTAAATTCATAACTAGTGAATTTCACCAGAACTGTTATCAAATAGAGAAAATGCACCATTTTCTTTAGGTTTATATTATCAATCTTCAATTTTTGCTACAGGTATAACTTTTTTATTCTGTATATTTCATATTTCATAAATTTGGTTGCTGCTCTAACACCTCAACAAGGTGTAATTTGCTATATAGCATTTGGGATATCATGTTTTTATGTTAAAGATAAGGGGGGGGGGGGCATATATTTATTTGACACCCTGTAGATGCAGACAATCAGAGGGCTGTTCGTAAAATATTGTACCAATGTCAGAATCCTATTTCGTATTGGTCGGTTTCTTTTGATAATCCGAAGTTTGTTATGACATTTTTATCACAAAGGATACATGGCGTTTTTATTAGAAAGGGTATGACGTTTTTGTTAAAAAGGGCATGGCGTTTTTGTTAGAAAGGGTACGTATTTCATTAGAAAGGATATGACTTAGTTGTGAACTACTGAGTTACAACGGGTCTAAGGCCATTGAAAATCAATTGTATTTTAACGTCCTGATAAAGACCGCATCCTAGTGGGGCTGGAGAGGGAGGGGAAGGGGATGAAAAACTAAGAAATCAAAAAAACAAAACTTTTATAATTATGTTGTATTTCTATTGAGATTTTATATTATTCAATAGTAAAAAAATCATAACAAATACACAGAAAATGATTGAAAAGTCACACACCTCTAAAGTTACGTAGATTTTTTATTATACCGAAGCTAAAATACGTGGAGTTTTCAACCTAGAAATTGCGATTACTTTAAAATAACGTTTTAATATTAATTTTATTCAATAGCATTGAATTCAAGACACGCTTTTTATTTTCAGAATAGTATTACAGGTATTACAAGTATTTTTATTTATTTTTCTGAAATCGTGTTTCTTTCTTTCATATAATATTAATCTCAAATCGTTCATTATCTGCTTTTTGATTCGTGGTACATGTTTAAGTTTTCTTCATGTTATAATTTTTACTATTTTAATCATGAATTGTAAATGTCATTTTCATCATATTTCTTTGATTGCCGTATACGCGGAATATGTTAATCATTCTGTTCATTATATAAGGTGTTTTCAATTTTTGCTTCTGCTTGTTTAGGAGCGATTCTGAAATCTATATAAATAGTTTATTGCGTTTTAATACCAATAATGCCATGCGTTGCAAATAACCATTCACCATGCCTGAAGTTCGTCATCTTTGTAGTCCTGAGATATGTTTGCAATGAAATTAATGTTTAGGTATTTTATGAAATTTATATTTTTTGGCAAGATCATGATATTCACTCCTTTTTGAAAATACTATTTTGATCTTCGGAGACGTTTTTTTCCTTTTTCCATTCTAGATCCCATTCCCATGGCATACTATAGAATATTGAAGTCTATAGATATTTGACTTCAAATGATTTATATTATATTGATTGAACAATGCTGAGTATTGGTGTTCTGCTTCTTTCTATTTTTCCAAATATTCTAGGACTGGATCTCAATATGAAGTTTCTTGAGAAAGCCCCTCATGATTTTATTCAGAACACCAACTTTGTGTTGTACGGACTCTAGCGTTGTATGGAATGTTGCGTTTTATGGAATGTTGCGTTTTATAGATCGTAGCAGAGGTAAGACAGTCTTCATAAAGTCTACATATTGATCGATGCAGCTGTTGTTACGTTCGTCGGGTTCGTCTCCCAGGGGATTTTATCAAGATTGAAGAACGCCATACCCCATGTCTGTACGGCGAGGGTAACAACCAATACACATAGGATGTTCATCCCGATGCCTGCCTTTGCCTGTAGTGATAGATACAAAGTAAGTATGTAATTATGGTTACTTTTAAGAAGAACTTGATGGGACAACTTTTGAAGCAAATTGCGCTTGACGTCAGTATGTAAATCTACAGATATATAAAATGTTCAACTACTCACACAAGCCTGCCACCTTGCATGTATATCGGTGAATTTACAAAAGGAACTCACACAGATTACGAATGATCTAGATCACAGTGTCTGTGTAGAATACAATGAATTATCAGAGGTATTTCTAGGACTGCCCCCAAGGCTGAAGTCATATAATTTTTGCAAGTAACTAAAGATAATTTAGATTTTCCAGTTCTTTACATACTTTTAAAGTTGATTTTTGATTTTATGATGAATCAAGGATTCGTCTCACCATATCAATAACTTTAACTCTCCCATAGGAAAATACGATGGCGTTAGGAGGGGTTGCTACGGGTAACATGAATGCAAACGACGCCGAGATGGCTGCGGGGAACATCAGATACAAAGGGTTAACATCAACAGCCTCTGCCTGGAAATAATGAAAACAGATCATATACAATCCCTTCAAAAATTGTAGAAAACCCACCCCATTGGACTTTGCGTTAAAAACCGTTTATTTTTCTCGAACAAAACAATGAAAAATATTGAAACTTTACGCTATCTAATGGAGAGTTATCGTTGCCAAGATTTGGACAATTATGACACGTAGCTCTGAAGTTAATAATTCACATACCATAAAGATGATGCATATATCAATAAACAAAATAGCTGAAGATGACGCGGGACCAAAATATGATATTTTTTATTTTTTATTTTATTTTATTTATTTCCTGATAATATAACAATGGAATGTACAAAGCATGTGCACTCGACACCCTTAGTAATTGGGCGTATCAGTGCATATATCAAAAATTATTGCAGAGCAATCACAAAACATATAATATATAACAGTATAACATACATTATCTAAATTGTTTAGATGCAATACAGAAACTTTGAAGTCTAGATATAAATAATTAATTTAAATGGAATGTGATCTTATATAGTATTTCCATTCATCTTTTCCAAAAGGTCCTTTTTAATGTTGTGTTTAAAAGAATTCAAAGTTTTACATGTTCGAAATACAATTGGCAAAGAATTCCATAAAATAGCACCAGAATATGTCACTGATCTTTTTGTCAATTCAGTTTTTATTTTGCTGGGGCGTACATGTATATTATGAAACTGTCTTGTAGTACGATTACCAACATTATGATTGTGCATGTATGTAAAGTAGTTTTTGAAAAGATAAGCAGGAAAATTTGATGGTTCCTTGACACAATTATACATAAATTTTGATTTCTCTAACCTGTGAATGTCAAAAATTGTTAAGATTTTCATTTCTCTAAATAATGGTACACTAGGTTGTTGATAATCTGCATTACAAATCAGTCTTACAACTTTTTTCTGAAGATTAAGTAATGGTGTAAGTAATGATTTGTTGGCATTACCCCATATGATGTTGCAATACGAAATATGTGAATAAACAAGTGAATAGTAAATGTCTAACAATGCATGTCTTGATAGTTTATTTCTTACTTTGAAAAGAATGCCTATTATTTTTGAAATTTTTGAAACAATATATTCAGTATGCCTATTCCATTTCAGATTTGCATCAATGATTACACCAATAAAATTTATATAGTTAACTCTTTCAATCTGGTTATCACCAATATATACCTTGTAGTGATGGCTATTTATATTATTAAGTCTTGATTTAGTAAATAACATATATTTAGTTTTCTCTATATTGAGTGAAAGCTTGTTTTTTATTTTAGCCAATTGATTATACATTTTATTTCAGTGTTTGCCCTCAAGTAAAGAATATCTAAGTTGTCATCTTCTAGAGAAATATTTGTGTCATCTGCAAAAATAACTAATTTTATCATATTGGTAACATTAAATATATCATTTATATACAATGTGAAGAGGACTGGTCCCAAAACAGATCCTTGGGGGACGCCACAATGTAAATAATGCTCTTCATCAGAGTATGAACCTGATATGAAAGTTTTTAATGGTCGATCTTTTAAGTAACTTTTGAACCAATTTAACACTACTCCACGAAAACATAACAGTTCAAGTTTATTTAATAATATTGTATGGTCAATCGTATCAAATGCTTTTGATAGGTCTAAATACAATCCTAGAATATGCTTATTATTATCCATTGAAAACCGAATTTGTTCCAGAAAAGTTAAAAGAGCCATGTATGTTGAGTTGTTTTCTTTGAATCCAAATTGTTTTTCATTCATTAACTTATTATTTTTGATAAATTTAGAAATTCTTGAGTGCATTACTTTTTCAAGAAGTTTAGAAAATACACTTAATAAGGAAGTTGGTCTATAATTTTCAAATTTTGATTTATCACCCTTTTTGAAAAGTGCTATTAATTTGGTTATTTTCATCTTTTCTGGAAATACACCTGTTTGTAAGGAAATCTTTACTATATGAGTAAATGGTATCACAAGGTTGTACCTTGCATGTTTAATAACTATTGGTTTTATATCATCAAATCCTGGAGCTTTATCATTGAGTCTTTTCATAAGTGTTAAGATTTCATCTTCAATTACAGGTTCTAAAAATAAAGAAAAGGGGTTTCTTGTTATATGCTCAAGTGGTGATCCAGTTGAAGATATTGTAGATGCTAGTTTTGGTCCCACATCAGAGAAATAGGAAGTAAATTTATTAGCAATAATTCTTTTATCTTTGGTAGGTTGGTTGTTTATATTCATGATGTAATCACTTGTGTCACATTTTTTCCTATGAAGAATATTGTTTATTAGATTCCATGTCTGTTTAATATTACCCATTGTTTCATTAAATTTAGCTATATAGTATCTATTTTCAGAAGATCGAATGAGATGATTCAGCTTATTTTTATAGGTCTTGTATTTTTCAAGGGTTTCTAAAGATTGATATTTCAAGTATGAGCGATAGAGCTTGTTTTTAGTTTTGCAGGATGTAATCAGACCAGTGGTTAACCATGGTTTACTTGAATTAGTATACACCTTTATAGTTTTAATGTGCAAAGGAAAGCATTTATTATATAAGTCAGATATCAAATTTTCGAATAATTGGTATGCATTATTTACATCTTGTTCTGCTAAAATTTCATTCCAATTTATATTTGGATATAAATATATTAAGACCCGAGGAAAGCATAGCTTGATCACTAACTGGCAAATAGAGATATGAATAGTATATGAATTACCACATCAGCTAGAATAGGCATCAGGAGTGTGGTCACAGCACTGTTGCTAGTGATTTCCGTAAACAAGGCAACGGATATACATATTACCAGTACCATGACAACGGGATTAAGATTACTCAGACCTACTAACTGTTGACTTATCCATTTCGAAAGACCAGATTCCTGAAATTAAAAAGCAACTCGTAAATGTTCGTTTTTATACTGCAATTATGGCGAAGAAGTGAAGGAGCGGGGGGGGGGGTATATGTTGGTGATGGTTGAAAGAAAATCAATTAAATGTATTGCAAATTTATTTTGAGACACACTCCAACAGAAAGGCCAGTCTTAAGTTAAGGCGTCCATTTCGAAAGGAACATTTTTATTTTTTAAACTCACAATTGAAGTCACTGATGGGATACAATCACAAAGAACTAATATTTGCAGGCCCGGAGCCAGGGGGGGGGGTCCCCCTGGCCAAATATCTTTCAAAATCATGCAGTTTTTCAAAATTTTGAGCACTTCTCATGTGATTTTAGTCATATTTGGGCCAAAATTGTCAAATGTGAACCCCCCCTAGAAATTTTGGAAAACTGAACCCCCCTGAATCCTGGCTACGGGACTGATTTGTATAGTATTGTATCCTTACCACAACAATATTTGGTATAGCACACGATTATGACGATTCCTACATTATTGGGACAGTTCTTCAAAATTAGTGGGCTGCTTTTTGGATAGATTTGTAAACGAGTAAATCGAAACTGAGCACTCACCCCCGAGGCATCTGCCAGAGCATATCCTCCACCTAACAACAATATTACACTCCACGGCAGTTTATGTTGCACCGTGTACCAATCCATAAGGGGGTCAACCGGTTTGGATTTACCTTTTTCTAAAAATATAGTTCTCGATTAAATACAATTTACACATTTTCAGCATTTATAAAAGTGGCCCCGACAACAACAATATGATTCCTAAAATAAGGGTCAATGTCAGAGGGCAAACAGTTTTAAGTAAGACGTTCGATGCTTTGGTGTTCCCCTTTTCTTACTGAGTTATTTTTTTCGTAATTATCCTCACACTATATTTAACTTTTGGTAGGATTCGCAACTTCAACTGACGGCTGACGATTTGACCTACTTTTTACAATGGAATAGTGGCAGGTTCTATTCATATTTAAATGAGTTGACCATAAAAGTAGATTAATCCGTCAGCCGGCGGTTGAATACGCGAATGCTACTGAGTCGTTTCAATTCTGTTTCTGTTTGTGATTTCTATTTCAATATATTTGCTAGGACATGTCTTATTAAGTAAACTTACCAGTTTTTGAGCATGTTCTACAGCATAAGAACTCAGGCCACTCGATTGGCATCAGGAAAAGCAGTATGGCTATGAACAGCGCAGGAGTCGCATCTGTTACATATCTAAAACAAGGTAATAATAAAAACATCCATGATATCATCAGAAATTCACTCTCAAGATGGTAAAACAAGGTATGAACATTACATATTGTTGACCGCTTATCAACCAATCAAAATCGAGTATTTCAGTTGAGGTACTAACAATATAAAATGTCACCATCTTGTGACATACAGAATAAAGAGTGAAAAGGTCAAGTCAATCTGAACGGGGTTTCATAAATTATTCCAAATGGTTTTCACATAGTAACAATAGTAACAGACACCAAACTCCGAATGTCAACCACCGAATGTCGAACGCTTTAGGTGGTGCCAAAAATGCAATCTGCACATATTGTTGGGTAATAGGTAACTGCTCCAAAAACTTACCCCTTTGTAAAGGCTGCAGCCCAACCTGGTATAAACTCTGGCTCTCTTGTTAACCATAATAGAGCAAGCATAACGAAGTGGGCCAAAGTTACAACTTCTCTAAACCTAAATCAATATGATAAATTGATGAGGCATTTTTGGCACATCAATTTAGAGCAGTATGATAAATTGATAACAATTAAGATGGGCTTATATAACAATTCATTTAAACCTACATCTATACCGGTGTGAAAGAAATTATGGTCCCCCAGGGATTATGGTCCCCTTTCTTAACAGCCCTTTCTGGCCCTGATTGTGTATAAGATAATAAGGGAAAGAGGCCACCATATAAATCAATGAAGAGTATGACCATAATTTGACCTTCTCCCCTTTTACACCTGCATCTATTTAACAAATTACTCGGTTAGTGGAATGGGTCAGTGTATACAATTCTTTAAAATAAGAATATTTTAAGTTATTGAATGATTTGAAGTGCAATATAGGATATATTCTGCTCAAGAAATTTTGTATTGGAACGAGACGAAGTCGAGATATCGAGACAGAATATATCCTGTATTGCACTTCAAATCATTCAATAACGCTTTTATCGTGTGATCCTCTGTATTGCTGCTGAAATTGTCCCCTCCGTACCAATATTTTCTGTATTGCGACGGAGATGGTCAACGGGGACAATCTCAGTAGCAATACAGATCGGTACAGCACAAGAACTGACCAACCAGAGGGCTTCATTTTACAGATCATACGATAAGATCAATTATTTAGTAAGTAAAAGACTCGCTACAAATGTTATAATTTCTCTGTTATTGAAAGTATGAAATAAAGAAGCCATCTTGTTATTATAGTTTTGCTGCCTTGGATGTCAAGGGCAGACACTACTTACACCATTGAACATAAAACCAATCGAATAACTCACTTCATTTTTCCTAACTTTTCATATTCCGCTCTGATGACACGCTTCACTGCTGCTGTTTCGTCTGGATTTTTGTCTTTAGAAAAACATGAAAGGAATTTCCTGAAACATAAAAAATACATTGAGGTCGATTTATTAATAACTTAAGGTTGGACGAGTAGTTAATAAATACAATTATTCAAAACAATAATCAAGGTTACAACTAATACGATCAGTAGATATATTAATACCAGTGACTTTTCACGAGCCCTACATTGCCCACTGATTTCAAAAGAAACCGGGTAGAGTAAATAATCAATAAATTACAAAGACGCACGTATATTATCTTAAATAATCAATAAATTACAAAGACACACGCATATTATCTAAATTAATCAATAAATTACAAAGACGCACGCATATTATCTTAAATAATCAATAAATTTCAAAAAAACGCACGCATATTATCTTACCGTGGTCCATAATATACTATTTGCAACCATATCCACGCAAGGATGAGGCAGATACAAGCTATCGGCAACCCAAATAACATCCATGTTGTAAAGTTTACTCCTGAAGATTCCAATCCATGTTTTTGGAAGACCCTTGAGCAAAAGTGCAGAACGTTGTTGAAAAGACACATATTTTTTGTTTTTGGTATAACATTTATACAGGGTGTCAAATAAGTATTGATAGAACGGCTGTAACATTTCTTTGTTTTTTAAAATTTTGGACCTAATTCTACAGTTTAATTAAGTTATGTTCTGATGTTTTATGAAAGTGTCAAAAGTGTACATTTACATGAAAGTGTGATTTGGACCAAAAATTTCTAAAAGGCCTTCCTAAACCGTTAATGTCCTTTTTAAGAACCCCTATTCTTGATTCAAAATGGATTCTTGCAATACTCTCCCACATGAATCTACTTGTTGAGACTCGATCAACTTGTGCTCTTCTGAAATAATGAGGATTTATCCCCATGATGGTATCCCGATGCTCAGCCATTAGTCAATGGTGTATATCCCCATGTTAAGTCAAAGCACCTTTGCTGAAATCCATTTTTCTAAGAACTCATGTTGATCGGGTCTCAACAAGTAGATTCATGTGGGATAATATTGCTGGGATTTTAAGTAAGAATATGGGTTCTTAAACGGTACATCAGGCTTGGTTCTTAGAAAGTTTTGCTGGTTCTACTTTGAAAACTCATACAGTGATGTACCATTCTTAGAATGAAGATTAAGATTTACATACAGGTCGACTTGTCCTTTCATAATGAGGTTTGGCCCAGTACCAGTTATTGTAGACATTCCACCGACATTCGCAGAGTAGCAGACACAGAGACTCATACCTTCAATATATTTAAAGATTCTGTTATGTGTCAAAAGGGAAAAAACAAAGAATATTTGAAAACACTTCAAGAAAAATAAACGTTTCAGAAAATAGTCATTATAAGGAAAAACAGACCCAAATATCCTTAAGTAAGAGATTATCAAATTGTCAATGCAAGAAAAATCGATGTTTGATATTTGTTTGATTATTATCTGCTTGATTATGACCTGTCGTTTTAATTGCTTTACAAATGTTGTTCTTTGCTTCTTATTTGTTTCATGTCATATAAATAGTGTATTTTGAAATCAAGCAGTTCAATATTTGGATGTACTACAGTACTTTAATCTAAGAAACGGCTAAATTCCCAATTTATAGCTCGTAACCTACATTCAGTCTCTCTCGTAACTTTCCCTACAATCCGTTTGATTTATTATAAGGCTCTTAGATATTTGATGCCAAGCCTTTTTCATTATATACATTTATAACACATACATGACAATTCCGTGTTGTCCTTACCTTTGCATAATTGTATAAATTCTTTGTCTGCTTTTGAGACTGGGACATACCCTGATATATCCCCCTTCTGCGACGCCTCTCTAACCTCGAATTCCCCCTTGTCTTTTAAGTCAACTTGTTTAAAAACTTGATCTTCAACATCGAGTGATTCCTTGGTAGGAAACGAGCTTGAGTGAGTGTCACCGTTTAAATCGGTGACATCGTATTTTAAACTGCGAAAATTATGGAATCAATATTAATAATACATTCAATCTTAAGTAGTGTATATACATGATATAAGAATTTTAATACAAACATTCAAAAATAAGCAAAATCAAGCTCTTATTTTCTTCTCTTTGCAAATTGCAGAAACATATATAGTTCCATTCGTGATCCCTAACAGACCCATTTATTGCTATTTTTCTTACGAGACATTTCAATGCTAAGCCTTAAATAAGGACGCTCACCAATAGATTGTATATATTGGCACAAGTTTCATTATATATTATTGTAAAATCATCAAAATGTCAGAAATCAACATTTATTGTAAAAAATCATTGTACTTAGGCCATATACAATCGAACGCAAAGGGTATATCGAGGAAAATCGCTACTCGTAACACATGCAACGTACCTTGCATCCTTATCTTCTCTCACTGAGTATATTGCGGGTACACCATTAACTGAAATGAGCATGAAACGTTTTTCTCAACTTGAACCAATATGACCATTCTCATAAAATGCGTAGGAAAGTAAAACGACCGCGACGTTATATTTGAGATACAGAGTGGCGCCCAAAAAATGAAAATCCCTTAGTTTTGGAAGAAATATTGGAGGAATATTCGTGAATTCTCTTGTATTAATATAGATTGTTCAAAGGAACAAACAGTTGATAAAAAGTGTATTATAATACACAGAAAACGTGAAACATTTCTATATATTAGAACTTATATGTATTATAAATTCACTTGAAAATAGGGTTCATAAGGAAATAATAGGGAGTTTAAGCTTGCAATCATGCATGTTTTTCACAACCTAGGTGAACGGAAATATTTAAGCGATGCATTTTTATGGGCGATTGGTCATACATATAGGTTGGCGTTTCGATTTTATATGCAAGCTTAAACTCCCTAATAATTGACTTACGTGAAACATCTGAGTTGCGTGGAGATGGACCAGTTAGAGGTGTCTCACCACTTATTTTCTTCTGTTTTAGTTTCCGTGTTTCGGTTAGCTGTTGCAGGACTGCCTCCACGACTGGGATCATCATTGCTGTCGTTGCCGTGTTGCTGATCCACATGCTCAGGAACCATGTCGGTAGCATGAACCCTAACATCAACCTGTAATAGTTAAAGGATATGCATGTTCATAAAGTTAAATGTGATTGGGTAAGGAAATACTCATTTACCAAGTCAAAACCACCAGTTGAAGTCGCCAAACTAGGTCTATTTGTCAATCTTACTTGTTATACACAGCGGTATGATTCTAAATTAAAGAAGTCGTGTTCTATTATTTGTAAAGAATTAAACATTCAAAAAGTACACAGATAATGCCACAATTATATACAAGTAAATGTTCGAAATGAATTGCATTGTTGGTAAGACTCAAATCAGAGATTGACCAGGCAGAGGGTGACAAAGTTGAAATCAACATCTACGATTTTCAAAGTAACGTGTCTTTTACTCTCCTTCGTATGATCTAAAATGTTCTATGATGTCTTCCCAAAATCACATCGGAATAGCCTGACAACGGTAAAGTCAGATACCGTTGTCACAAATGGCGGACATAACCGTTGCTTCAGCTCTTAATCACTTGGTCCTCGTTTCATGGGACTTTATCGTCGCTAATTCTGTGCATGTGTTAAGCTCGTGTGATGTTGTATTATATGAAATTCCAGTTTCTATCATAGCTTCTACGATATCGTCAATGACAACGGAATCTGAATTTGAAATACTTTACAAAGACAACGGCATAAGGTAAAATGTGACAACGGACTATGGTGGATGTATTGCATAGGAATATACTTTTCCGTTGTCTTTACATACCGTTGTCAAATATACCGTTGTCACCTCGATTTTACACCTCATCTGACCTACACCTGCCGTTGTCATTGTTGTATCCGTTGTCTTGGTCATATTCCGATCGGTAAAATTAAAACTATATGATCAGTGCCAAAGGAATTTAATCTAGTCGCTCTATTAAACATACAGGTCATGGAAATCTAATCGAAGCGACGGTTATGTCTGCCATTTGTGACAACGATATCTGACTTTACCGTTGTCAGGCTATTCCGGTGTGAAAGGGTGAAGTTTTTGAAAATATGTAAACACAAGAATTATCGTGTTTAGGTGTTTAACATCAGTAAGATATCATCCCGGGGATAGCATGTATGAGAGTCTACTGTAGTATCTAATACTGGCTGATGTTTGGTTAATGATATCGGTATTTGACATGTGTTCATTTATGAGCAGAACACAAGTATGTTTATAATAATATACATTAAATTAAGAAATGCAGATATAGTTTAAAGCTATTCTTTTTAATTTGACTTTAATAAAGTTTTAAATAATACGTTTTTCTTATTCGTCGAAAAATGTTTAAAAAATGTAATTAACTATATTAACACCCTGATGATGGAATGATTAATTAAACAATTTTGTATCTATCATAAGAAAGTCACCTTTCAAATGGTACATCGGAGCTTTATATTATCCTATGAGGATAAATTGCATCGTGCATTTTTCGTTTTAAGAGTGGATTTTAAAGCTTTAATTTGTTCAGTTATATTTTTGCATATCTATTTTGTGTTATCTGTAAAATTTATTTTAATCATTAAACTAATTCGAAAGAATGACGAGCAACTTAAACATAAAAGTGCATGGCGTAAAGCAAAAGCAGCACTTAAATAGTACATCTGACCCTTTGCGAACAGTACAATAATGGACTCCACATCTCATGATACCCTACCATGCCCTTGCTCGGTGATATCAGAACTCAGTGATAAGGACCTCCATAGCACAGTAAAAGCTCAACGCGGATCCTAAAATCCCCACGGCGAGACAAAACCCCCATGATGAATTCCGATCAGTGCCCGTGTGCATTTTATGTCCCTTAGTGTTACGATTTCGAATTGCGATATTGGTAATTGAATGGTGGGGGGTGAGGGGGGGGATTAAACACTTTTTTCACGTTGGATTATGATTCGGGTTAATTTTCCTTATGACTGGTGTACTATTAGATGTTTTCCTTTTCTTACTGTGTTCTGTAATCGTTTTAGGTATTTTTCCATTTACACTTGCGCATGCGTAATTGGGTCTTCATTATCTAAAGACGCTCGCACCGATAAATCGTTCATGTCCGAATGCGTCTTCTATAAGGACAAGCAATATCGTTGTAGCTTAGCACTACGTATCTTATGTCTGATGGAATTAAAAAGGATAGAGTGTAAAATATTTGAAGCTATATTTAAGTAAATAGCACCAATGTTTTCATCACTATTCCATCATATTTTCTTCAAAACGGAGATATCTAATCAAATATAGCCGTAATTTATGAATTAAAGTGTGCGCCTGACCCGGCTACGTATAGCACAGAGTTTATACTGGCGGATTAGACTAGTTCATTTTTTATATGTGTGTGAAAGCTTTCTCTTATTTGCATTTTTTCGTTTAGTACGGTTCTGTTATAATTGCCGAGGTCATATAACCGGGATAAAACAATGATTATCGTTGACTGCCCACACACAAAACATACGTTGAGTGAGTGTTATTACAAACAACAGGCTTTAGAATACAAAGCGTAGTGTGATAATAAGCTGTACACTACCACTGCATGTACATATTACTAATTTACCAGGGCTCCCAAAGAGTGGATAGGGAGGTTGTGTTTGTCACTTTTAAATTTTACATTTCAAAATTGTCATTTTACATGTCATAATTTGTTGGTTTCATTCGTTTAGCAAATCAAAACATTGTAAAACAATAAATTGTCTGTTACGTACAATCAATTTTGTTCAGTTTTGATTAGTTGTCAGAATAAAGTTACGTTCATCTGAATCCATGTATCAAAACAAAAATCCTATTTTCACTTCAAAATACTTCAGTGAGATGAAGGCTCGGAATTGTCACATGCAATAACTTATTGTCGTATTCGTTATTTAATCTTCTCGATAGTAGCATCTAGTCGCACATTTGATGCCAGGTCACCTTGTCGCGTACCTCTTGGGGAACCCCACATTTATGTGTGTACTCATGGAAGTAAATTCCCCGGTGTAGCCGAGAGCCACAAACTTTTCAACAGGTTCGAAATGACCAATTTCTCTCATATATACTCTAAATATTTTATTATTTAGCACCTACAAAGTATTGCTAATAACCATATGTAATTTCAATAAGGAAACTTATCTGGCTACATATAAATTCAATATCAACACTAGCTGTTCTCTCAACACGTCCTGGCTTACCTTGTGGTGACAAACCCTGGGTTTTCGCTATTTATAGTTTATCAACACCTGGACGCATGCGCATTTTATAGTTTATCGGGCACTTTAAGATGAGTAAATGTTCGTAAATGTCCAAATTCACCATAATCAAAAATGAGAATACCCACCTTTTTCAATTTTTGCAACCTTGAAAACTCGTTTCCAACAGTTTAACTTTCAGATTAAGTCCAAGATTATCACACAAATGCATCATGATAAACCATGACATCTCAAATCTTCTCAGCCCTGAGTGTTTCGGGTGAATCAGAAAGATGCTATGAGTATCAGAATGACACAAATGTATCATTTAGTGACTTCAGATGCATTTGACCATATTGAACCACCCAATAGTAGGCTTACCCCCAAAATCATGGACGGGACGTGTACGTACCATTGTGGCTTAGAACCCACGAGTAGTAACACTCCAAGTGCGATACGTCTGTGGAGATTTGATTTCTCAATTGCGACAGCCACAATCAATCCACCGACAAATAACATCTGGGTGTCCTAAAATAAAAAGTACATGCACGTCTACAGTTTTACAAAATATACTTTCAGATCAACAAAACATCTGGGTGTCCCAAAATAAAAAGTACACGTACGTCTACAGTTTTACAAAAATGTACTTACAGATCAACAAATAACATCTGGGTGTCCTAAAATAAAAAGTATATATGCGTCTACAGTTTTACAAAAATGTACTATCAGATCAACAAATAACATCTGGGTGTCCTAAAATAAAAAGTTACGTCTACAGTTTTACAAAAATGTACTCTCAGATCAACAAATAACATCTGGGTGTCCTAAAATAAAAAGTATATGCACGTCTACAGTTTTACAAAAATGTACTACCAGATCAACAAATAACATCTGGGTGTCCTAAAATAAAAAGTACACGTACGTCTACAGTTTTACAAAAATGTACTTACAGATCAACAAATAACATCTGGATGTCCTAAAATAAAAAGTACACGTACGTTTACAGTTTTACAAAAATGTACTTACAGATCAACAAATAACATCTGGGTGTCCTAAAATAAAAAGTACACGTACGTCTACAGTTTTACAAAAATATACTTACAGATCAACAAATAACATCTGGGTGTCCTACAATAAAAAGTACATGTACGTCAACAGTTTTACAAAAATGTACTACCAGATCAACAAATAACATCTGGGTGTCCTAAAATAAAAAGTATATGTGCGTCTACAGTTTTACAAAAATGTACTATCAGATCAACAAATAACATCTGGGTGTCCTAAAATAAAAAGTACACGTACGTCTACAGTTTTACAAAAATGTACTTACAGATCAACAAATAACATCTGGGTGTCCTAAAATAAAAAGTACACGCACGTCTACGGTTTTACAAAAATGTACTATCAGATCAACAAATAACATCTGGGTGTCCTAAAATAAAAAGTATATGTGCGTCTACAGTTTTACAAAAATGTACTTACAGATCAACAAATAACATCTGGGTGTCCTAAAATAAAAAGTACACGCACGTCTACAGTTTTACAAAAATGTACTACCGGATCAACAAATAGCATCTGGGTGTCCTAAAATAAAAAGTACATGTACGTCTACAATTTACAAAAATATACTATCAGATCAACAAATAACATCTGGGTGTCCATAAATAAAAAGTACATGCACGTCTACAGTTTTACAAAAATGTACTATCAGATCAACAAATAACATCAGTGTGTCCTAAAATAGAAAGTACATGCACGTCTACAGTTTTACAAAAATGTACTACCAGATCAACACGTAACATCTGGGTGTACTAAAATAAAAAGTAAACGTACGTCTACAGTTTTACAAAATGTACTTACAGATCAACAAATAACATCTGGGTGTCCTAAAATAAAAAGTATATGTGCGTCTACAGTTTTACAAAAATGTACTATCAGTTCAACAAATAACATCTTGGTGTCCTAAAATAAAAAGTACATGCACGTCTACAGTTTTACAAAAATGTACTATCAGATCAACAAATAACATCTAGGTGTCCTAAAATAAAAAGTTACGTCTACAGTTTTACAAAAATGTACTCTCAGATCAACAAATAACATCTGGGTGTCCTATAATAAAAAGTACATGCACGTCTACAGTTTTACAAAAATGTACTTTCAGATCAACAAATAACATCTGGGTGTCCCAAAATAAAAAGTACATGCACGTCTACAGTTTTACAAAAATGTACTATCGGATCAACAAATAACATCTGGGTGTCCTAAAATAAAAGTACACATATGTCTACAGTTTTACAAAAATGTACTTACAGATCAACAAATAACATCTGGGTGTCCTAAAATAAAAAGTACACGTACGTCTACAGTTTTACAAAAATGTACTTGCAGATCAACAAATAACATCTGGGTGTCCTAAAATAAAAGTACACATATGTCTACAGTTTTACAAAAATGTACTTACAGATCAACAAATAACATCTGGGTGTCCTAAAATAAAAAGTACACGTACGTCTACAGTTTTACAAAAATGTACTTGCAGATCAACAAATAACATCTGGGTGTCCTAAAATAAAAACTACACGCACGTCTACAGTTTTACCAAAATGTACTACCAGATCAATAAATAACATCTGGGTGTCCTAAAATAAAAAGTACATGCACGTCTACAGTTTTACAAAAATGTACTATCAGATCAACAAATAACATCTGGGTGTCCTAGACTCCTAGAACAAAACCAAAAACTATTTCTATGATTTCACAAAATATGCTATCATCAGTTCATTATCACATAAATTTTGACATTTTAAAATTAGAATATTGGTCTGCAGGTTTTAAAATTCATCACAAGGTATTCTAAGCTATTTTTGAGGTAATCTAATCGACCGCTACATGATCTATAATTGTTCAATGTATTTTGAAAAAATAATTGTATGATTCTTTTTTAAATATTTGAAAATTGTCGAGTCATGTCTTGCATAAGTAAATGTTAGATATTTGTCAATGAAAAAAATACTCAGAACTTTTAACAAAGACTGGGCAAATATAACGCCTTTTCTCTGGCGGACATCTTGGTAAAATTCATTGCGATTCGATAACTTAGAGTTGAAAAGATTGAGTTGACTAATATTTTGAGTTAAGTCGTGAGCATCCTCCGATCACAGGGCTTCAAAATTCAGAATATCTTCTTTCTTTTTACGAAGAAGGAGGTACGGATTCCGTACACCTGTTTCGGAGGATGAGTCGTGAGGCGTTAAAAATATAGTTATACTCTGTATAAGAGGTCGACTTTGTCATCCGCTTTGTCACCACTTTTTGAACTAGAAATTGTTATCTAATCAAATCAGAATGTTATTTACTACAATTCAGCCTTCAAGTGGCTGATCTTCATTTTACTACTACCAATGTTTTTAACTTTGGCAGGCAATATATTTAAATGTGTTTAACTGGAACAAAGGAGAAAAAATCTTCATTTCACATTGAAACCCTCTTATTTGAGATTATTATGGTCTTGTAAAATATACAGTCACTTCGATATGTCAGACGATAATTACACTGTTCTATTATACGAGGGTTGTTCATAAAGTTCTCAAAATTTCGTTCTTAGAAATATTGAAAAATAAAAAATGAGATTTATATAATATGGACTTTATAATCACCAACCGTATACCGTCATGTAATCCTTCACATGCTTTTTAAAAATTAGAATATATGGACTTTATAATCACCAACCGTATACCTTCATGTAATCCTTCACATGCTTTTTAAAAATTACAGTATATGAACTTTATAATCACCCCTCGTGTACCTTCATGTAATTCTTTGCAAGATCTTCCGACTCCATGACGCCCATCAATGGAAGTAGAACCATCGGGAGTAGAGACGTTATAGCAATTGGAATCACCTCCGTGATCCAGTAGACCGCCATAAGGATCATCACGTAGGCACATTTCGCTTCCTGTGAAGTAACAAATCGACATTAGACCATTGCCAGTTTATATGATATGAACATAAACCCCAAAACCCAATAACTTCTTTTAGTCTCTGAGTTACCCTGGACGTACACGTGCCGTGTGCACTGTGCCTCTATGCGATAACAATTAATTAACAAGACAAATTAAAATCGAAAAATTCAAAATGACCGCCATTCAGCATGCCCAAGACAAGGATATAGTCCTGAGTAAGGACATTAGCGGTTACCGTTAGTGATTTGGTTTTCTGAATAAAAAGTCATTTTCTCCTTTCCTACCCCATTGGAGCGCCATCTAGCGTTTGGGAAGTGAATCGGGACTAAATATTTATAGGGTAGGTCCTAATTTATCTGAAAACATGTCAGAGTTCAGTGGGAAATCTCATTTTAAGCTGGCGGCGGAGTGATTTTGACCTTGGTGGTTTTACCAGAATTCTCTGAGAAATCTGACGATAGAGGGGGTTAGTGTCTTCAAGTTTATTTATTTCAAAAATTCGGTGGACAACCCATGGTAAGATTGTTATAGCAGGCTAGGCGAGTCTCTCCCGAACACTGTGGTATGTTGCACTAGGCTTGGATACTAATCGTTAATAAGATACAGGGTAAAATGTTATAATGGCCACCTATGGGAAACTCTACTGTGGTCTTCAACCCAAGAGGAAACAACCAGAGCTTAGAGATGACAAACATTATTGCGTCTATTGCTTACCACTTTCGTTTGTCCGAATTTTCACTGGTTAGTTTCCGAATACCACTCATCGTCGTGACTTTTTAATCGATTTTATAGCACATTCTTTACATTTTCCTTTATCTTGATGTGAAATAACAAGCTATAATATTTTTAACACTCCAGAAAATAACAGATTATTATTCGAAGCGAGTTTAGAAAAAACAGAAACCGCCATTGTATGACGTCATTTGTCTGTCGATTTGACCAATCAGTGACGATATCTTCTAAATTGACATTCACATTATAGACATGTGTCTTTACTGAACCCTTGGCGTCCTCCCCTCTTCCTAAGACCTGATTGAATATTGGCACTAGTCTGTTCTTATCTGTGAAAAACTCAAGTTGAACAGAGAAGCGGTTTTCCTGGAATTTTATGACAAGATTGTGCCCCTTCCCCCAGTAACAAGACGGCGACAACAAAGGACTTTAAACAACTCTATAGGAGGATTTTGAGGTGTGACCACATCCAAAGTGGAGCATTGAAAGTTCATTGTCAATGAATCTTAACCTTGAGCAAGTCATGTAGTAAAATGAATGAATGATTTATGTTTACAGTAACCACTAGAGAATGTCATTTTAGTGTTTTATATGTGTGAAGAGTGTTCTCATCACAATCTTTTTTTACTTTTATTGTTATATATTAGGCAAACTACTATTAATAAATGGTTTTGAAGTGACAACTTGCTATGACAATGGGAAATACGCCTGAAATAGCTGCTTGTAAATCTTCTCGGTTCATTTGCATGTTAAATAAAAAAAATCATGCGAATAAAGACAATCGTTTTTAAGGGATGAGAAGGTGAAGATACGAAGTCTCGAAGAATTTTCACAGTTTTGTAATCGTTATGCTTTCATTATTTAAATGTGATGTCTTTTCCCAACATCCTCTTGATGCATTTGGATATTCGACCTATATATTCGATCAGATATCTCAAGCCATTTTCAAGAAATAAAAAAGTATTGTAAGGGAAATATTAGCATGTTTTGAAAAGAATGCCTCTGGCATTAAATTGATGAATTATACATGTACTAACCAACTCTCTTATGTTAGTGAATAGGGTAATAGATATCAAGGATCTTAAAGCAGATATGAAATGGTATTTTTGACCTAAAGGAATCAAAATAGTTTTTTGATAAATGTATTTGGACATGTTTTCTCATCAGTATTGTGAAAATTATTTCACTCTAACGATCGTTATAGCTGCTTAATAAGCAATATTCGAATTGGTTGTGACGTTATTGGCCCCAACATGATCTCTCACTGGCCCCCACGTGACCTGTTCTGGTCCACTGAATATGACGTAATTTGTTTTAGTAACGCCTTAGCAACTCTATTGCCGCCACTTTATGTTTACAAAATGCCGCCATGCATAGTTCGATGTAGTCTCAGTAAACATACAGCCTTATTATCCTACGACCATATAGCCTATTGAACAATGTGCCCCTATTACAGTAGAGACGTTGGGTACGATTGCTGTATCATTGCATTTGAACGGCGATACGGCAATTTAAATTTAATGAAATATTTTATCCTAGATATCGTTTCTTTGTACTCCACTCCCAAAAATTGTGAAATTGAAATGGACCTCCCTTGTTCATAATTTCGGCAATATTAAATGTAGAAATAGCATCAATTTTTTATTCATATTGGAAGAACATATATAGAGTAAACATTTCCTCGCGGTCATTTAAATTCCACCGTATTTCACTTTCGATGCTTGCAAATTTTCGCTTATTTCGGGCAAAAAACAAAAATGTACTTTGGGGTTGAGGTACTCTCCAGAGGCAAGAATTACATAAACTAGACATGCTTTTAGTTTTATTTCATTGTTTTTACATCGTCTTGCACGAACTTTGGGGTTTAGATTTATCATAACACTGATGTTTTAGGTATGTTAGTCTCAGGTTTTAGTCATTGCTAGATCGCGTTCAAAGTGCTAACATGGGTAAGTACCGTTTGCATTACCATGGTCCCCAGACGGGCAATGATGCCATCCGTCCAGAAACAAAATTGAGCTAGAACTTATAAGTGCCATTTAAAAAAAAATCTTTTTTTCTTGACGAAGAAAGACACGTACATCATAAAAACTTCTTTCAATTCCATGAAGAAATAAACTCAAATAAAAGTTATCGAGAAATTCTCCAAACCTTTATTGCAAGGTCGCGCAAAGAAGGCTTTATTTCGTTCCACAATACATATCAACTACATACCTTCATGTACCTTAGACTGCTAAGATAACATTTTGAGAGGGATCATCTGATCTAATATTATATTAAAGTTTTGTTTTTCCTTGGATAACGACAAACCTACCAGTTCCCGCAAAAAACTTTTCTCCCAAGGAAAAATCTATCGTTTTAACTGAGTCTTTCAAAGAAATCATATCGCAAACAAACATTATGTGTAATATTATTGACAACATTTTTGTTAAATATACTGGCCATACTTATTACTTAGTAATGTATCTTGTCGGTACACGATGGAACCAGACTTTGTTACTTGTGTCTATTTTCGTAATTCAAAAGATCAGTGAGTTGTAATTTGAAGTATTGTTTAGCCAAATGTAAAATTGGTCGTCTGGGTAGGTATCAAACATCATACTTTCAAAATAAAATAAGAAATGTATTTCAACGCGTTTGATCATCGCAGTACACATTGGTTATTTTTAAGTTACGCTGGAAGTTATTCAAATTACTTTTTATCAGCACAAAATTAAATTTCGAATTATAATATTTGCTTGACTAGTTGATCCGTTGTAGGCTGTTGTATCCGGGCACAGTCAATATGCAGTTATTTCGGGCAAGCCCAAATCATCAAGTCTACAGAAGAAAATATAGATCATGATTTGGGCTTGCCCCAAATCAAATGCATACCGACTGTGTATCCGGACTATAATAAAACATTTGTTCTCTATTTGTTCACACAACAATCGTGCGGTTGCTATGACGTCGCAATTTCCATTAGAAATAATTATGGCGTCATTGATCACGTGGGGGCCAATCTGTTTAATCTGTTATTTTATTATACCGTTAATAAGAACATTAAGGGTGTTTATCATTTACTTTTAAATGGTTAACGGGAGAAATCCACGTGGGGCTTACAATGCAGAAAATCTCATTTTTCTAGCTGCAAGTTAAGAAAACCTATTTCATTTGTCCTTTGAGAACATTTTGCAAGTATGTATATTTTTGACGATTTATAATTTGCATATAGTGCAATCTCATATTGTGATCCCCGAATGGAGACACCGTTAATCAAAAAACTCGCTCACAAACAAAAACACACAAGTAGACAATACTTTGAATAACACAACGCTAGTTTAGTACTTACACTTGTATTGATGACTAGGGGTAGGGGTAGCAGCAATAAAGGTGTCAGCACCATCACAAGGGATCCTTTGAACCGCCATAGCTCCAGAAAAAACTTTTTAACATTATAAGCCATGTTCGCTTTCTCAGAGGGTGCTTGACCTAGTTTGCTAAAAGTACGAGGCAGTAAGTTTTAAATCAAAAATGAAATATTTGCAAAGACAACTCAAAGGTTAAACTGATCCATTGTGTCACATTTTTACCTACATGTATTTATGGCCAAGAGTATTGGCCACCCAGGTTCCTTCCCGATCCTTGACCGTAGTTCCGTTCAGTGCTTTCAAAGTGACGACCAAATATTGGTTTAGTTCAAATTTCGTAATTACGACACAACACGGAAATCAAAATATTGTACTGGTTATGTTGAGGGAGTGTCAAAACCGACCACTCAACGACTCGAGGATCGGCAAGGTACCATGGGAGCAAATCCTCTTTGCATTTATGGTTTGCACTACTTTAAAATATTTAAAATAAAAATATATTCGCATAATTCCACCAAAATGTCCAGAAGTTTGAACTAGCGCATCTTCATTTTTCTTATCACTTTACAAAATCAAGTCAAGGATCTAAAGATATTGACTTGAGCAATGTATCGCTAACTGCGCTCCTTAAAGTGAGTGCAACATCAGTCTCTTATGCGTTGTTAAATTTTCCAAAATTTAATTGCTCGAAATGTTTTACTTGTTAACTTAATTAAACTTAACATACCTGTAATCAGCTTGATCTGCGGGTACATAAAACGCACACAGTCAATATGTCTTGCAGTAATTGTTGATCTGTGTTATCTCTATAAGATCCCCATCGATCACGATTAACAAAGCACTTCAAACTTTCGAAAGTAGGTGACATGATATATTTACTCTTAACCTAAGACAATGTTAGAATATGTATAGATGCAAATGTAATACAAAACACAATCGTAGGACACGAAAATGTATGTTTTTGAAGTGTGGAGCACCTCTTAGTGGAACACAATTGTAGGGTACACTCCCCTTTTATAAGTTTCGCATCCAGAAGTCAAGTTTTGATAGCGTGGTAACACCTGTCAATATTTGAATCTTTATTTCGTTACTTAAGTTACTAAAGGGACTTTCGATTGCTAAACTTATGGCGGGGGTGTAACAATGCAGTTAACCCCAATCAGACTTGCCAACCTAAAATGAAAAATTTACGGGAGATTTAAAAAAAATTGCGGTACTTTTACGGGAGTTTTTTTCAAAATCCGGTAGTTTTTGCGGGAGTTTTTTGAAAAAAAGCGGGAGTTTTACGGGAGGTTTTTGAAAAAACGGTAGTTTTTACGTGAGATTATTTAAATTTTGAAAAAAAACTGGAGTTTTTACGGGAGATGTTGAAAAACGGGAGTTTTTACGGGAGATTTTTTAAAAAAGGTATTTTTCGCGGTGAATTTTAAAAAACGTGACTTTTTACGGAAGATTTAAGAAAGAACGGGAGTTTTTGCGGTAGGTTCTGAAAAAACGGGAGTTTTAACGGTAGGTTTTGAAAAAAACGGGAGTTTTTGCGGTAGATTTAAAAAAAACGGGAGTTTTTACGGTAGATTTCTGAAACAACGGGAGTTTTTACGGTAGATTTCTGAAAAAAGGGAGTTTTTACGGTAGATTCTGAAAAAACGGGAGTTTTTACGGTAGATTTCTAAAAAACGGGAGCTTTTACTGTAGATTTCGGAAAAAACGGGAGTTTTTACGGTAGATTTCTGAAAAACGGGAGTTTTTACGGTAGATTTTGAAAAAAACGGGAGTTTTACGGTAGATTTCTGAAAAAACGGGAGTTCTTACGGTAGGTTTCTGAAAAACGGGTGTTTTTACGGTAAATTTTGAAAAAAACGTGAGTTTTTACGGTAGATTTCTGAAAAACGGGAGTTTTTACTTTAGATTTTGAAAAACAGGAGTTTTTACGGTAGATTTATGAGCATTAAATCCAGCGATTTAATTGGTTGAAATTATTATGACGCATGCGCAGTTAATAAATTAATTAGAACTTATAATCTAAGATAATTTCACAGCAGTCCCTACCAATAATGCGCCTTATATTGCGGGAATATTTTGTTTAGCGCCATATAAAAACAAAATGCATTCTCCCGACAGAAGTATGACAGAATATGAACTGGCCCCCGTTTGTGGACATTTGGTGTGCAAACTTATACCAAACTGATCGCAGAAAAGCAATTTGAATCATGGGAATGAAGTACTTTTAAGTTATTTATGAAAGTATCAATAGTGAACCATGGGAGCCAACCTTCTTGGAGTAAAAGAAAGAAGCGTGCCTGCAATAATCAAGGTCACAAATTTGTCAAATTCCTTTTAAATACGGTAGATTTCGACAGCAAAAAAATGGAGATTTTACGGGAGTTATACCAAGAATACGGGAGATTTTACGGGAGTTATACCAGAAAATGGGAGATTTTACGGGAGTTATACCAAGAATACGGGAGATTTTACGGGAGCTACACCAGAATACGGGAGATTTCAGCAAAAATACGGGAGATTTTACGGCCATATTTTTAAAAAACATTACGGGAGATTTTAGTAGAAATACGGTACGTGAGTTTACGCGAGTTTTTACGGAAGAAAACGGTACGGGAGTTTGGTATTTTTTACGGAAAAACAAAAAATTTACGGGAGATTCCCGTAAAAAATTGGGAGGTTGGCAAGTCTGCCAATGTTCTTACGCCTTTATCGAGCTCTGTTGTATAATGAATTTCTGTTTTCAAATAATGAAAACAGAATTACAAGATGCGCTATATTAAATATATGAGACTTCCCAACCTCATCATTGTTTTCGATCCAATGTGCCATTTTCAAGAGATTTTGTGAAAAAAGATAGACACCCATCGATAGACTAAAATTGTTAAAAAAGTGTTAAAAATTTAAATTTGATGTACATGTAATCTATATTTTTTAGACAAACACAGGTACTTTATTTTTCGCCTTCCCCTTTTGGCTCAGGATGTATACATAGGCAATTGCTGTTACAGGTTGCTATATTCTTAAGGCAATCAATTTCAGAGGTACTATTATTAAAACATATTATGTTTCCGTCTTCTTTTCTTGGTCTAAGTACCAATTATTCTTGAAAATTGCTATATTTTCCATACTAACTACCCTTTGCATTCGTTTGACTTCACTTCTTAAAAGAGAGCTTCGTCTTTGCACTCTTTCAAACTAAAATAAACCTGTGAACTCACCGCGCCAATCAGTGTTCGTCGGCCAAATTTGACCGACGTTCTATATATGGTCATTCCTTCTGACGTCATCGTTGTAGTTTAGCTAGACTCTCCACGCAGGGTACATACTAACAAGCTCAGAAGTACTATTTAAACATATGATGTTTCCTCTTCCCTTCTTGGTATCAATACTCAGATGTAGCCAGTTATTCTTGAAAATTGCTATATTTTCCATACTAACCCAATTGAAAAATATAACTAATTACCAACTTATTACCAACTAATTTACACCTAATTATCAACAATTCTGCTGGCAATTGGAATTAAAGTTAAGCGTTAATTCAATCAATGATAATTATGGTCTAATTATCAGTAGCAAGTTCAACGTAAATTAACTTACAATAATGCTGATTTGTGATTTTTAGTTTAAAATTAAGATATGAAAATGTTTGAGGGTGATAGTAAGTGGTAAATTAAATTGTTTTTGTTCTGAAGTAGATTATTGGTTGATAGTTAACATATAGGATCATTATAATGTTAATTAGTCGTAAATTAGGCCCATGATTTAGAAATACAAACCCCTTACATTTAATTTCAAGATGGTGGAAAAAGAAAACACGTGAGAGATATTTCTCTTACAAAATTGAGAATTACAATTTGAATGGTGTGTATACTACCATGAAATTTGGTCAACGTTATGATAAGGGTATGTAGAACATGAAAACAATGTATGTTAAATCTTATATACACTTCTGTCTGAAATGTTTATGAATTTGAAAATCTTTTTGAATCAGATCATATAATATTGATCCTAGAATACAATTTAGGTACTAACATGGGTTACCTATATTTCACAAGTAATCCAAATGGGCTCTTCTAAATAATGATTGTTAGATCAAAGACACATTCCAAAATATATTTTTGATTATCTGTTACGGCCTTTTTATGTAACATTATAGTCTAATGTTTGTGTTCTGATTTTAGTTGTTGATGGCAATTATGATGTTTTCACATGCTTTTCACGAATCTTAAAAATTTGCAAAATAGAATAGCTGTGAAATTTCAATAGTTCAAGTTCAATGTTGTCTGATTTCTTAAAGATCCTAATTAAAATGAACATTCCGTCACAAAATAGCTCAAGATGAAGCAAAAATCTTTGGGTGAAGGGAAGCAAAAAAGAAGCGAGTAATTTTTGAGAAGTCACAAATCTGCAAAAACTTAATCTAAAAAACTGAAACACTGACCGTTGTTTAGCTCATTTGTATAATGATGATAATTAAACGTTTATTAAGGTGAAAATTAATTGTTTCAATTGTTTCCACTTGTTTACATACACTGTGCGATTATCAGGAAAATCTATCGAGGATTTTTTTGGCTGACGGACCAGGTCCCACTTAAATAATGGGTGCTGAGGACTCCGAGAACAATGAGATATGGAATGAGATGTAAATGTAAAAATCCTTTGTACACCCCTGAACTTGAATATTACATTCCACAGAGAGAAATCTTCTTGGAGTAAACAATTCTATATTAAAAATTCCATTTTCTGATTTAGGCGATAGCGGGGTAGTTACAAAATGTCAATCCTGCTCCCCGATCCAAATCGTCATGTAGGAATTACTCCACAGATGTCGCTGTTGAAAAGGTATGTAGAAGAAAAAAATCTATGTTTAAAATCGGGATAATGGTTGATGGAAATCAAAACTATGTTTAAAATCGGGATAATGGTTGATGGAAATCCAGTTTTATCAGTGCAATCACCAGTGAAAATGTACAGACTTTACATTTTATTTTGTATATCTCTTGTGAATATAATTTCATAAAAAGTATTACGAAATTATTTGGTTCACTACAAATACTTGACCATTTGTGACGGTGGTCTTGAGTTTGGAATCTCTTGAAAAGTGTTGAAAATTCGAATAGATGGCGGAAAAAGCGGTCAGATCTTTTGATTTTGGTGGCTCATTTTTCTAAAGACATTTTCGAGTTCCAAGGGGACACATGGAACTATAACGTGGTAAATGTGGTTTGGTAACTGAAATCTTAGTTTTTTCATAATTGATCCGAAGATTTGCATGTTTTTCAATTGAATTGTATGGGTCCATTTAATAGTGGAGTTATCCCGTAAAACAGATCAAACAAGATAAACATCTGGTCATGAAGATGGAAGTGTCCCCTATGTTATGATAGCCCTTATATGTGTTATGTCCTCCTTGTGCTGCAATCAGAGCATCAACCCTCCGGGACCAGCTATGAACGAATTATCTGACCTTCTAAGTGAAATATGGCCCCATTCCTCAATCTGGGAAGTGTGTAACGTGTAACGTAAATTTTGAGATGGAGTCCAAGTCACGAATCTCATTACCAAGGTCGTCCCACATTTGCTCTGCAGGAGCCTGATTGGCTGACTTTTGTGCCCCTGGTAGCTGATCCACATTGCCTGCCCTGAGGTAATTCAACACAATGCCACTAGCATGTGCAACAGCATGATCATTCTGCAGTTGAATGTTCCCAAAACACTCAGTTTACATGTGGTACTTGATGTAGGTTCTAAATGTCAAATTACTCTGAAATTATGTTTGGGAATCACCAACTACTATATAAATTAAATAGGGCCGCCTTCATGGACTACCACATCGGTAAGTGTCCTTATTGTCCCATTTCCCCTGGTCTACGATAGAAACGAACACAATTATCAACTTTGTGGAGGACACATCTTCTTCCATCACATGATGTCATATGACATCAAAGATTAAGTCCAAAGTTTTGGTGCTTTCTTGCCCATTGAAGGCACCTTTCTTTTTATGATCAGTCAGCTTTGGTTTCTTCAAAGGCCTCATGGGCTTGTATCCGTTATATAAGAAATCACCGTAGTTGTCTATAGCTCTGAGACACGGTTTTGAGGTGAGGCAGCCATTCATCTCGTAGACTACTGGTTGACTTAAAGCGATTTTGATGACAAATTTGCAGCAGGTGGTGGTCTTTCCTTGTATTTCTCTCCCTTGGGCTTCTATTGCTGTGACCTGGAGTCACGTTCCTGTACCTTTGGTACCACTGCAGAATTTTAGAGCCGTGATCATTAGCATATTTTATCTGTAGGGGTCTCCGAAGGATAGTGTTTACCAAAAAAGAACTATTGCTGATCTAAAAAGGAGGATAACAAAAAGAATTAGACAGATAACGGTGGAAAATAGTAGTTGTATGATTGATAATTCCTACTGCAGAGTTCAAATGTGTTTGCAGAGGTGAGACATGCACATTGAGCATGTCATATAAACTAGAATAATTCAAAACTTTGTACCTGATCAAACCGAACCTTTCAAATATTATCAGACATTGAATAAAGGTGATATGGTTACAGTATATGAAGTTCCAAAATTTTTGTAGTATTTAAAAGGTGAATTTTAGGTGGTCCAATTTTTTGATTTTGGAACACCCTGTAGGGAAATAAAAGAAAGTTGCTTACTATTATTCAAGTGCACTTTACACAGTCTTATCTGGCTATTATGACATTTGATTTTGTACTTGAACATGTGAAAAATGGATGATATACTGTATACACTGCTGTACAATAATCTCTAGTCAATCCAATTATATTGCCTTTATATTGCCGAAATATTTATGGCAAATTACATCGGACCACGTATATGTGGAGACAACGCTTTATTCCATAACAATGAATAACAGTGTATCATGTCAGATATATGAAAAGATTTACGTAGTGTGGAGTTAATTAAATTGTATTAAGGATTAGAAATGGCGGTGTCTCAAGGCTGGGCGATATTTTTTGGTGGCTGGGGAGTGCTTGAAACTGTTCTTTTCGGAGGAATAACGTACGGCTGGCCTTCTTTAGTATTTGTCTTGAAGGAAGAACGTTATTTCAGTCATTTGTGCAAATGTGAGACCAACTGGACGGAAACAAACACCTTGACACCAGCTTGTCCAACATCATGTGCGGCGCAAGATGAACAGTTTAACTTGATATTTGCAATAGCCGGAGCAGTCGTTGGTATTTTACTCGTTTTGAGTGGAATGGTCTTTGACAGACTTGGTACATTAATTACCAGATTACTCGGGAGGTAAATATAGAAAAAAGTATCCAGCGAAAGCCCAAATTTTCAAGGTGCCCTATTATCGGCTTTGTATAAAAAACCTTCTACCTCATACCCACCTACCCACCTACGTGGATCATGATACAGTCATCGAAGGGTTAAATTTTAAAGGTTATTAAATCGCAAAATAGCTCAAATTATTAACATTTCTACAATTCCGGCTTTATTTCATGACTAGACAGATGACAGATCCATAAATAAAGGCATATGGATGCATTTTAATGTGTAATGACCCGAGGGCGCCCCGGGGGAATAAATAACTAGCAACCCCGAGCATAGGTCCAACAAGCTAAATAAAGAGATTGAAAGAAAGTGTGCTAAATTCGATGCCCCGAGTTGGAATCTAACCCAGCTGGGATGTAGTAGGAACTTGCTATCAAGGGTCGTTACAAATGCATCTATAATTCATCATAAACTAAGATTTAATAAACTAAGATCTTTAAAATCGAACCCTTCAAAGACTGTATCATGTCACACGTACGTGGGTAGGTAGGTATGAGGTAGGAGGTTTTTTTTATACAAAGCCCCTATTTTCCACTATTTTTGCCGACGAAGAGGCTAGATCGTGATATTAGAGGCACATTGAATATTTCATTTAACATTGAATTTGTTTAGATATTTCTTCAAATAGTGAAATTGCAAGGCCCATGAAACATTTCAGACTTACAAAATAGTGAATCTTTTTGTCAGCGAAAATTTGGGCTTCTAAAGAAAATCTATATCTCAAATATTAATATCTATTTCTGCTGGCTTGAAATACCATATATATATAAATCAGGAATATATCAGGCTTCGCTGCTATACAGCAACTATCGAACAAAGAAAAACCTTTGACATAGGATGGTTAAAGTGCCATTGTTTATCTTAGTGACAATTGATGCTTATGTGTTTATCTCGCCATTTGATGGTTATATCTGTTTAATGATATATAACGCTTGAATGTTTATAGTGATATGTAATGCAAGACTTTGCACGGACTGCCTTTATTGTGATATATGGTGCTTATTTGTTGATATAGAGTGACTTTATATGATGCTTACATATTTATATTTGACACAACTTGATGCATACATGATGTACAGTGCTGATTCAAATTAATTGATAAGTCGTATAGTTGGCATATTTTCTTGAATTTTAACATTTAATGTCCCAAACTCCCACAAACTGTAGAAAAGTATACACCGTAAATCATATTTACCAAAATGAGTGTCTCCAAGGCTTCATACCAGCGTATGCATAATGCATTTGTCACGAGTTTGAGCTGAGATTTTGCTAAAATGAAGTAAGGGTAATCTCCGCCAGGTTTGTTTATTGTGCAAATTGTGACATATTTTTTCGAGTGATTTCGTTTTGTCTCATGGAGTTTGTGTTTCAGTGTCACTTCCGCAAAAATGGCGGACCAATGACAGAATTAACAGGTAAAATCACTTCGAAATTTAGAGAACTTTTTACCTATAATAGCAAAACTTTTGTTTTATTTGTGCATTCTATCTATCAGATAAGAGTCTTGGGGATATGTAGGCAAATCCATTTTGGTAGGAGCACTCTGTTTAGTTTGAAAACTCACCCTTTATTATTTTGTATCAGCACTATATGTTTATCATGTGTAGGAGAGATGGCATTGAAATGACCTCATCTGTTTGACTTATTATCATTTTGTGTTCTTTTATTTGTTTCAGTTAAATATTCAAATTCATACTCGCTCAAAGGTTAAAAATTGTATTCGAAAGTCGACCATGAAGTTAATTTTCTAAAGTTCTACTAAATCAGCTATTTATCAAATGATTTCAAGTCCAAAAGAGCAAATTCTTAATCAATGTGATAAGCTGAATAGATAATATGTAAATATAATATGTACTTTCTCCATTGTTGAATAGATATCTGTTTTATAAATCAAAAATGATTGAGATTTCAAACGTACATGTTTTATATATGATATACAGTATCAATATTATAAGTTGAATAGATAAAATACATGGCGTTCAATAAGTAATGACACTATGTCTTCTATTTTGTCAAATTTTAAAGAATCTTGCTTAAATTCTTGCAATTGGACGTTTATCTGAGAGAAGTTTTAAAGCTCATCAAACAATGATACAATCGCTGTCATTGCAATTTTGGTGACAGGTGCGTTGACAGAGACATCTATTTAATTGAATATGATTACTGAATACACCTTGTTTATTTCATAAAAGACTCGTCATCGTTTCTCATCGTATGTATGCTGTCATCTATGTTTTCAGCGTTGTATTTCTGTCAGGATCTTTGATGGTAGCATTATCCACGCCAGGTACAGTCAGATAAATATTCCACATTATCATACAGGGTGACAAAAAAAACTGGAACCCATAAATCTTCAAATTTCTCGGAAAGTATTATACCTACATTCTTCATTTCTTCAGGGTAGAAACTAGACTGAATGCATGACAAAATGACACAATAATGAGTACTGTAGCTTAGATATTAATCATGCCCCTTGCAAGTCACAGATCTTTAGGCTTGTACAGAAGTTTGATTCAGAAGGAACTGTAAAACCAACAAAGAAGAAAAGTGATGGTAAACCAACCTATTCGGGGAGAGAGAGGTCTGTCAGAGCTCAAGACAACTCAACAGTCAACTCAGAACGTTACATCCCTAACGTTCAAAAGTTTTGGAGAGCGCTGGGTAGACGACGTGACTTGAGAAGGGACCAGCAATGGTTCCAACAAGATGGTGCCACACCCCACACCTCAAATGAGTCCATTCGATGGCTTCAGGCTCACTTTGGTGATCAATTAATCAGTCACCATACCCGCCACATCTGCCCCCCCACTCCCCTGATTTGAACCACCCAGATTTTTATCTGTGGAGGTATCTCAAGGATAATGTGTATACAGATAGTCCACTGACCATTGATGACCTCAAACTCAACATTGGAAGACTAATTAGAGAGATAGACAGAGCTGAATGCAGTCGGATCATTGACAATTTTGCGAAAAGAATCCAGCTCTGCATCCAACGTTGTGGTGCACATTTGGAGCACATTATCTAATCGTGCCTTATTTGAAGACTAATTGAGCTATAATGCTAAAACTTTAACATCTTGTCATACATTCAGTTGACTATACATGTACCAAATAACTAAGCTCAATATATTATTGACGAAGTTATTAAGACTTAAGTGGGTTCCAGTTTTTTTTGTCACCCTGTATCACTGTCATATTCACCACTCTCTGATTGGTCCATGTTTTACACGTGACTAAAAAATAACAGCTTAAGCGTTATTCCATGATGGTGAAATTCCTGAAATCTGATTGGTCCATGTGGCTTAAATATATCTTGTATTTACACGCACTTTCCAATTAGCGTTGGATACAGGATGAAAATGACGTCAGCGTTGGTATACGAATTAGTGTACACCAACGCGTGCTAATCTTTGCATTTTGCTAGAAATATCTGATTTAAATATCAGGAAATGATACTTTGATCATCACAGTTTAAAATTTTAGGATAAAAAATACGCATCTGGAGATATAAGAAATCAATTTTAAGCATGCACATTGTTTTCATGAACTAGTAAAAATTCAATATGGCAGACAAAATTCGAAAAAGCGTTTCGCTATGTACACTGCACCTCCAGCTGATGAAACTAAAGAGAAACAACAGAAAATCAAACGTACAGTATTGTATAATACAATAATAAATAACAACAAAGGCCGTAACGATTTTGAAGGAATATCGATCAAAAATATCTTTGAGGTAAGAAGATTGATCTTTCTCCGGCCAAGTCAAGGAAATAGACTTGATTTTGGGGAGTTGTATCTGAGTAATCATGGAATAAAAACGCTATTCAATGGTTTCTCGTGAAATACAGATATTATTCTTCCCTTGAAAGTCTGTATTTCACTCTGCTAGCGCATCATGAAATACAGACATTCTCAGGCAGAATATTCTCTGTATTTCACTCGAATCATTCAATAACCTATAATATTCAACGGAAGTCTTATGATATTCAACTGTCGCGATTTAGTCCAGTGTAGCTTCAATTGTATATAGACATTGATCGTTTGTTATTCCATTTGAACATGCATACTAGTTGTACATTTAGAAATTATGGGAGTGGGGGTATATATCACGTGCTACAATATTGGATGGCAGTATTGAAATACTATGTACGTACATCCTCTTCACCCACCGTTTACAGACAGTATTGTATCAAAAAAATTTAAATGTAAACATTTTCCAGCAATTTCCTACGTCCTTTACCCGGCGGTGCTTTGTGTCATGTATGGTGGTTTCTTTATTCTTGTTACCAATATACAACTTGGAAATCTTCTCAAGAGAGGGCGCAACATTATGATATGTATCATGAATGGATCATTTGATTCTAGTTCGTTCATCGCACTTGTTGTTAAAGTAAGTAGACGTGAATTAATGTTATGGATAAAGTATGAGTTCTGGGTTTTATGATGAAAAGTAACCAAAGGCCTTTAGCCATAAGGCTGGTATTTATCCTAAAACCAAGTACGATTGCTTTAGTTAACTTAAACCCCTCTCATGTAAGATAAATGGTCCATGATTCAATCGGGAAAATTTGATTTTTTGATTGACTATTTAAAAAGGGGTAAGTGGTTTGATACATTTGAGTGAGTTGATATAATTAGTTCAGCTTCAGTACACTATATGTAACAGTCCAGGTACAGTTTAACGATTTCTTTTGTGTCTACGATCAGCTTTAGTGCACTGCAAGTGACAGTCAATCGTCTTCTGTGCAATACTGATTTCGGATCGCTCGTGCAAACTCATTACTATTCAATCATATTTTCAGTTGCTATATGAAGGCGGGGTATCTCTACAAGTTTCATTTACAACTATCAGTGTCATCTATATTATATGTTTCGTAAGTACGTTTCTATGGTTACCACGGCGAATTATTCCCTATCCATTGCCAGACGACTTCGAAATGAAAATACGCTTTTCGTGTGAAAATGTTGCTGTGAAAAGAGAAAACAAAAAACTACAAACTTTAGATAATGGTAAAATTAATGACGCTTTCGAATTGGAGAGCAACAACAACATTGTTAAAACTGGGACAAACCATGCAAATCTACAACTATCAAATGTTGACAAGCCAGTAGAGGATATACCACTGAATAAAGAAGATGGTTACCGAATGGAGCATTCACAACCTCTCAAAGCTGTCCTCTTGTCATCCTTATTTTGGACCAATCTTTTGTGGTTTGTATCCACCCACCTTCGAGTAATTTTCTTCTTGGGTAATTTCAACTCATGGATTACATTCCTGACCAACGGCAACACACAGAATGGTGAGTATAAAACTACAAAGACAATGCAGAATAAAAGCAAGATTGGCATTTTACAGACAATGTAATGGTTAATTCTAGAGAACATTGAATGGACGAATGTTATAAGTTTCTGTTATACAGCGGCGATCAGCAAATAACGTAAATAGATCTGCTCTATCTCAGAAACTAATAGGAGTTAAAACAGCCAACCTGATACCTAGTATCACCAAACATTCATCATTATTTCCGAAAAAGTTCATACCCAAACATTGATATATGTCAATGTTACAGTTACTATAGTAACCTGTGGCATGGGTACCCGAAGCACGTCTTGAATATTTAGTAACAGTAAGGATTTACTATACGGTAACCTTAGTCATGGGCACATTTCCCCGTTCTTGTTATATGGTGATAGTCAAGCATAACCGACTGCTCTACTTGAATCATCTCTGCTGTGCTTGCTGGCCTAGAGCATCTGTACATGGTGTATCCTCAACAGATCTTCTCGGCTCTTTAGAAATCATTGTGTACTATTTGTAGACATTGGTTAAGTCCATTTTTATCACCAAATGACTTTAGCATATTTTTTTGCGGTGACATTTCATTCAAAATACAGCATCACATCAGTTCTCTAGCTCTGTCTTATGTGGAGATCTGAAGTTTTCAATTTAACCATTTTCAATGTGGCTGACTTGACTTTGATTTACTCAATGCCCATGTCATGATATCGTTAGGTGACATCGACATGTATCATGACACACCTTTTATATTGTTGGGCAGGTATCATGACATCACGATTAAAAGTAGATCACATCAATTAACAAAAACTTTTCAAATTTGATTTACATCCAAATAACATAAAATCTATATGACTTGACAATGTCTTTCAAACTGATTTTAGACAGAGGTTAATAATACCTTATTGTTATGATTCACGACCTGCTTCAGATGCCTATACCACGAGTTGCTATGGCAACCGTTACTCTGACATAGAGGAATATTTGTGCCTCATCATTTTTCTTTTCAGTTAGTATGTACACATCAGTGTTTTCGTTTATGTCGTTCACTTCGATTATTGTTAGCCTTCTTGCCGGCGCAATAATTGACAGACGAACAATGGCCCCAGTAGGATCCCTTGCTTTTAAATTAGGTAAAAATATTTATTTAAAATATTTATATAATTATTTATTCTACGTGTCTTTAAAGCCCACGTTCTGCTATTTTCTAAAATAGCAAATTCACATTTTAAAATATCAAATCCTCAATAACCGAAAGTTGCATTTTGGAATGTTACCCAATGTTGACTTTTGATTGCCCACGTTTTTGGAAGAGGCGAAGGCGTATGTGAAACAACGTTGCACAATTTACATTTCAGAGAAATTTCGTCATTTCATCCCGATGTTTTATCTCAACATCGGCCTCGGTGTCCTGCTTTCTGCATGTGCGGCCATTCCTGTGTTAGAACTGCAATACTTCACATTCGTAGTGTTTGTTTTTCATAGGACCTTTAACTACGGTCCTGCAACAGCATTCATTGCACAAGCGTAAGTAGCTATAGGTGGAGATTTGTAACAAAAATGCTACTTTAAAACAGTAAACATTCAACTGCATAACTATGGAAACATGTAGCTTTTTCAACTCCGAAAAGGCGCTCGAAATGTGTTCCCAAATCATGGCTTAATTTGTTACTTAAACTCAATTGAAAGTGTTTTCATTTCTTACGATTGAACTTTGATTATACAATAAATGAATTATCAATTTCAGATTTCCAATTGAACATTTTGGACGGCTTTATGGTATAAATAATGTGATAGGTGCCATAGTAAGTTTGCTGCAGTACCCTCTGTTTACCTGGATCAAAGGACCACTAAAGAATGACTCAATGTGGGTGAGTACATTCTTGAATAAACAATTATAAACATTATACCAGTGATCATTTTGGTTTGTATTTCAACGACCAGTTATGTATACAGGGTGCGCTCAAAAATTTTGCAACTTTTTTAAAAGGCTAGACAAGTATGATAACATTATGGTATTGGCATAAAAATTGATTCACAGATAAGATCAAAAAGTTGCAAAATTCTTATAATTTTCATGAATATATAACAAATTATGAATTAAATGCTTCACATTTTACATCGATGTTTGCACACTATCATAAAATATATTGGTCCAATTAAACTGTGTGTAACTTAATTAAATGTTGAAATAGCCTAACATATCGTGAGAAAGTGAGGAACTACCTTGATATAAGAATTGCGAATATCTCAATAAGAGTAAAATTTGACAAACATGATCATCACTTGATATTTTCAGGTACACATAATTCTCCTTTGTTTTGCCGCCGTGTCCGTTCTTCATCCTATCAACATATGGTTGTATTGCCGAACAAATGCCAGTCGGATACATATTGACAGCGAATATGACAAAGTTAAGGATATGCACAGAGAAGATAATCATATACAACCACGTGTTGACAATGCTGTCAATAATGACACTAGAAATGGTACACTCATTTGCAATGAGATTATGCCATCTGAACTTGAATCCAAGCCACATTATAGCTCCATTGCGCATTCATGCACAAATAATCGAGAGATTGACGTATGTAGCTTATAGCATGGCACGTCAAACCAAATGTGTTCATTAAAAAAGCTTTCGACGATCTGATAGAGATACTTCACACATAAGAGTATGTTCTTTCATATGTCGGACCAGGAATTCTAGATTTATCAAACTACAATTGAAATAACGTTGAAATGGTAAAAGTAGAATACTTCAACGGTCTAGTAGAGATACTCCGCAACATTCAAGATACCTTGGTCATCTCGGGTTGCTCATGTAGATAGTCAGAGTCTCTGATTTGAATGCCTTTCTTACGAAGTTATTTTTATACTGTATTCGAACGCGACTGTATTCACGCCTTCTATAAACTGAGAACCAATCAATATTACACCAGGTATATATTCATCGACACTGCACCTGGTAATATACGTATGTAATGTATAACGTCATACTCATAACGGCAGGCCGTAGTAATGGTGGGCAATAATGAATATTCGAAACATTTTGGTAGGTTTTTATGTTCAAATCGTAATATAGACCTCAGGGCAGGTGTTATATCGACGAATGCATACCTTAGGGCTAGGCACAAACGCTTTCGAACCCCTCACTCCTTTCGGTCGTTTGGGGTTCAGAAAACGTTTGTGCCTAACTCTGCGGCATGTATTCGTCGATATAACACCTGCTCTTCGGTCTATATTTCTTAATTCTAATATGAGTCATGACGTCACGATAACTAGAACAATTGATTTAGTGTTCTATAATCGAGTATGTACGTATAACCCCTAAATATGAATACATACAAAAAGTTATTCTTCTGGTTAGTTCATCAATTGACGTATATCAACATAATATACATGTACGTCCATGGTTTATCATATCATAATCGTAACAAAGACATCGATTCTATGATTTATGGCAAATATATGACCGGATTTTATTCTGGCAAAGAACTCAATTGCTGCGTAATTAATGAACAATGAAAAGAATAAGACAATCGGTCATAGCTTGCGCCATTAACCATATAGTATCTCGGTCTATATTATCCAATGTGTAATAAGTTTTATACCCATCACTATTATTTTTAGCAGTCTGATACATTTCACTTTGTTACTAGTTGAATTATGTCCTTTGCTCTCGTAATGGGTATGCTGATATATGCTTCATAGTGTGGTTTCACTGTGTATTACATGTTGTTTTTTATGTCCATACATTTTTATAGCAATAAATGATAATACAGCTGGTGATGAAATGGCAAACTGCATCTTTGACATTTGACTTGTGTTGCTTGAATGGTGAAGAAAATTTCTGAATTTCTCTTTTACAAATAAATGGCATATTAGTTTTTTGAAATGTATTTGCCGTTCATGCCATTGGAAAATCTGTCTATTACGACCCTGACGGACTTTGCACTAGGCAACTTCACTCTTCGATACCATTTTTACAAAATAAGTTCCAGTTGCACGCTTGCCAAAGAATCCAGCGAATGTCTCTGGAGAGCCTCTAATCTGCTACAAGGCATCATTTAGTGCTTGAAGATTACTCACTTCGAGAGCCATGTTAGATTTTGAAACTTATGGCTCTCAAACGGGGAAGTGAACAGCTGATTAATAGTGACCTTTGAAATCGAATTAAGTCGATCCGCGGCTTACTTTTGGTCTCTAACTGTGTCTTACATCGGTATCATCAATCCGTGTAAGTATTGGAGCGCTGAAGTACTTCCTTTTCGATCAAGACTTGTAATTGTTAGTCGAGTGAGTGTTTTTACTGCCAAATTCCAATATGGCGTTTTCTGCTCGGACATTTTCGTAAATCTCCGGAGGTTGTCCGAATCCAACTAATTCTCAAAATTCATTTCGTTCGTTGCGTATCTCGCTCCTAGCAAACCGCCACATTGGAAATAGGTCTAAAAAACATTCACTCGAGGAACAATTTACAAGTCTTGATCGAAAAAGAAGTATTTCAGCGCTCTAATACTTATGTAATTTGAGATGGTAGCGAGCCAAAATATCAGAGTCTTACAGATAAAAGAGAAAACTTGAAATATTGAATCTCTTACTATGGATATAATTAATGCACAATACTTGGGTTTATAATATTTTATTGAAGATTAATATAATGTGTGTGGATTGGTTAGAGTCTCCTATATAGAGGCTGTATGTCGCAACTCTGCGACATAAAACGTACCACTAATTAAACAGACAATGTGATGTAATTTTAAAATATAAACATAAAAACTACTTTATTGCTTTCTTTTACAAAAATAAGTATTTGGTATCAAAAGTTGTAAATTACTTTTATTTACATGATTATGAAATTGAGCTTTAAAGACTAGGCTGTATGATGATCACTGTATATTTACACAATTATATTATGCACCTGAAGTTTTGACTATAAATTACTCTACACTTAATGTTGTATTACCCTGACTAAGTTGGCAAGACCTGTTTGTATTTACACTACAATTACCTGATATATACACTTGATTGGGAAATTATATACCAGACTTATGATATGAAGCACCAATTGGTTTGAGCTTAAGTGATTATATGCAAATGTATATGTTGTTTAAGTTTCTAAACTGTTCTACTGCCTTAATAATCTAATGTAGTAGACATATTGTCCAATACAATATGTCTAACACAAGAAATTACTCGCGAAGGCACAAAGTGAAAAATATCACCCTGAGATTTTGTTAAACTGAGATTCGAAGCAGTATCAAATTATGTTAATATCAAAATATCACCTAAAAGTAGCTTATTACATGTGAAAACTACACTGCTGAATGCAGTATATTCCCCACATGAAATATCAACTGAGCTACAGTAACACAAAGTGAAATAGTATCACCTTGGAAATATGAATATAAAACTCAATGTATGAAAATAATATGTACAATAAGCACTAGAGATATTTCAATGTACCAGACTGTTAGTTACATGTGGCAGACATAAAGCATGAAACAGTATGTCTATCACATGTCAACCAAATAACTACAATAAAAACAGTCAAATACACAATAGAAATACAGTATCTCTTCCAAACTCACAATATTAGTCACGATAAAGTATCGCAACAAAAGGAACTACTCAAAATGAAATTATGGCAAGCTTTTGGCAATTTAACCTGTACGACAAAGTGTCGAACAGACAAAAATCCAAAATAAGATCAAAATGTGTTTTATAACACTATGACTTGATTATACTTATGTAAAGGTGTGAATCTATATCACACTAGTATAAGCAAGCTCAAATATTACTCAAATATATAAAACTATCAAAAATTGTGAGTTTATGAAATCATGTGCTCAAGTCAATGAGAATTCTATGAAAAATGACAAAGATACAGCTTCGAAAAAGTAACTTCGAAAATGAAAATCAGTCGGCCTTACTTTCTCAAAAGTTAAATGAAATACTCAAGATCAATTATATAAGCAAAATACCAATGCAACTCTCGACACTGAGATGAATTAAGGCATCAAAATTTGGAATCTGCATGAGATGCAAAAATGTAATTGGGAAGCATACAAATCAACCAAATATTTAGAGCATACCTATCTGTCCTTTGTTGTTTACGAATATTGACGAAGATGTAAATTGAACATGAGAGAGAAGGCCTCTGATTGGCTGAAAATACCACGTGACTTTGAAATTGTCGATTTACTGCAAAAGTACGTAACATTACTTGAATAAAAACTTACCATATTGATCTTTAAATCAATATTGATCATAGCATGTTGCATTTACATCGAAAAAACTATGCAAAAGTGGTAAAATATGATGTAATTAAATAAAATGAATCGTAATCCAAAACGAGGCTGTGACCCCGGAAGCTCACATAAACACAAAAATAATTTCGGGGAGAAGTAAAATCTCCATATAAAGTTAAATTTCACCACCTTTACAGAAATCTACTCAGTCACCACTTATGGCGGAAGCAAGGTAAGACAATGTGACACCGTCTAGCGTACTAAGAACAAAATGACACTATCTAGAACTATTGCTAGACGGTCGTCACACTTACACGGATTGATGATACTGATGTAAGACACAGTTAGAGACCAAAAGTAAGCCGCGGATCGACTTAATTCGATTTCAAAGGTCACAATCATTCAGCTATCCAAATGCTCCGTGGGAAAGCTATTATATCAAAATCCAAATAGCTTTCGCAGGAAGTAACTTGAAGACACTCCTCAAATGACCAAGGAACAATTATGCGACCATACTCTTCTAAATGGCATTAAGGGGCATACTGTCAACCCTTTCAGTTCTCTTTAGTAGGTGTAGCGTAGGGTTGAGAGACTCTGGGCGAATCATTTTACACCCTTCACACATTTTAGAACTGTATTCATGCAAGTTCTGTACGTACACATATTGCCTGAATTTACTGCAATGTTGCTACATTTTTGAAAATATCGAAAATCAATACTGAAACTCTTTTGATCAAAATAACCTCTAGATGTGACATTTTGAAAAACAAAAAAGTTTGAGCATTAGGAATAGTCCAAAGAATATGTGTTCCAATTTTCATGTGTAAAAATTAGTGACACTAGGTTTTTTCGAAGTTCGCAACTAAACTTCCTTTGGGGTACTATAAACTAGTTACTTGGGTCCATTGGTTGCGACCGCATACCCCCTTTTGAGACAACACTTGGGATCGTTTTTGGTGCTGAGGAGGAGACACAGAGGAAAGAAGAACTATGTGCTCTGGGGTATGAGGTGGAGAAGCCAGAGATTGTTTTTAATGTAGACAAATCCTGGGTTCGCCCCTGAACTTGAATATGACTTATCCAGTGACTAATATTTTTAAAGTAAAACTTTTCTCAATTCAAGTTTTGAAAAAACATTATAAATTCATTTTAAGAAAATTAATGAAGCGGAACTGGGACGGATACAGCTGTCCGTCCCGAACCCCTGAAATGCGATGGACACTGGTACATGAGTTCTAAGGAATATCACCCACACACTTATAAACTCTTAAAGTAGAACTCTTACTTTTAGACTATAACAGTGGTAGAATCCAGATATCAAACATCGAATTTGAGGTCATAAGTGCAAAACATAAAGTTCCTTAAAAGTGTAAATAAGGTGACGTTTTGGCGGTTAAATTTTTTGAACTCTACTACACTACTAAATAAAACATAGTAGCTTGGAACTATCATTCAAGTGCACTTTACACTGTCTTATCTTATATTTGTGACATCTACTATATACTCAATATAGTGTTTGAACATGAATTTAAAAGATGAATGATAAATTCACTCCTGCACGATTAAAATGGCGGTATCTCAAGGCTCGGCAGTCTTTTTCGGTGGCTGGGGAGTGCTTGAAACTGTTCTTTTCGGAGGAATAATGTATGGCTGGCCTTCCCTAGTATTCGTCCTAAAAGGAGAACGTTATTTTAGTCATTTGTGTAAATGCGAGACAAACTGTACGGAAACAAACGCCTCGACAAACGCTGGTCCAACATCGTGTGCGGCGCAGGATGAACAGTTTAACTTGATATTTGCGATAACCGGAGCAGTCGTTTGTATATTTCTCGTCTTGAGTGGAACGATATTTGACAGGCTTGGTACATTCATTGCCAGATTGCTTGGAAGGTAAATATAGAGAATAATAATATTATACCAAACAAGATTAATGAAAATCTCAAATATCCAATATTTTTCGATCATCCTTTAGCAGGGCTCCAAAATCCAGAATATTTTCTTTCTTGATTCCTGACACCTGCTAAGGTAGATGTAAGTGAAACATTTGAAAATTGGCATTCGTCAACTTTAAATTAATCTCACGAAATGAGTATATATTGAATGCAATCCACATTTGTATTTTAAAAGCAAAATAACTTAATGTTGAGGACCATCCATACATCATTTTGTCCTAAAACTTTCCATATGATGTAACAAAAAAAGTCCCGGATTAATTGCATTTATTGAATATACCTTGTTTATTTGATAACACTCATTTTTATGTATTGTTTTTTTTTATTTATATTTATCATTTTGTATGTTATCATCTATGTTTCAGTGTTGTATTTCTGGCTGGGTCTTTAATGATAGCATTCTCCACGCCAGGTACATTCAGATGCATATTCCACAAACAAAAATGACATTGCAAGTACAATAGCTTAACTTAAACGTACACCGACCTTTTTTTCAAGTAAAGTTTTACTGCTATAGCAACTGTATGGTCCATTTGCTGGCCATATAGATAATGTGCTCGGAAATGGGCATCGCATCTCTGAAGAAGACAGACTTGCAAACGCCGGGCAAAGTTGGTTTAGCGATGAAGTGCGTTTTCTGTCGAATGGGCACATTAATAGCAAGAACTATTTTTTGGGGTAACCATGCTCCTCTTGATGTAGTCCAGAGACCCCTTCATTGTGCAAAATGCACTGTTTGGTGTGCTTTGAATAACCATGGTGTCATTTGGCCGTACTGTATTGAAAATGAGGAAGAGAAAATAGTAACCATGAACACAAAGCATTAAATTGTTTTGCTTTGAAAGTTTTTGAAGGTTGTACAAAGAAGGAATTATGTTGATAGGCCATCACAATGGTTTCGATAAGACAGAGCCATATCACACTTATCCAACATCACCTTGGGGTGGCTTCAGAATCATTTTGAAGATCAACTCATCAAGTCGTAGAGCGGATAACAACTGGGCATCCCCTCCCCAAGCTTGGGTCCTCCAGATTTTTATCTGTATGGGTTCCTTAACGATATTGTGTGTGCAAATTTCTCCTGCCAATTTTTACATAAATTCCTATACCCAAGATCAAGATCACAAAGCTGCTGTTCCAAAGTAATTAGACAATTTTGTCGAAGAGGACATAAAATCTTTAAATGGTTTAATAACCTGTCAATTTTGTTAGTGACATAGACAAATGTCAAATTTTGGTCAAACATTAAGCCAAGGTGTTTGTGTTTGGTCACTTTTGGAACTTGATCACCCCCAAGTATCATTGATGGGGTTTGCAACTCTAATTTTCTAGGGTTAAAGAAAGTAAATTCATTTTATGACCACTCGTAAATGTTATTAAGGTCAGTTAGTAAGAGAGCCATCTTGAAGTTTAGATTATCTTCATTAAACGGCTGATAAATTGAAGTGTCATCGGCAACATTTGAGTTTATTTTATCAGAAATATCGTTAATATATAAAAGAAACAACAAAGGGCCCAAAATAGACCCTTGAGGTACTCCTGAATTGATAAAGTTATTATTAGACCATGCAGATTCTTGGCCATCTATTACACCTCTAACTCTTTAATTTTCTAAGTAAGATTTCATTAACAGACAGATATTTTGACCAAAACCGTAACTTGAAAGCTTACTTAAAAATTAATATATGGCATTGAATCAAACGCTGCTAAAATATCTAGGAAAATACCTTTAACGTTATTACCATTATCTAAAAAATCGGATATGTAGTCAATTATGGCTAAGAGCTGGGGTTAAGTTCCATGACCTGATATAAACACTTTGTAACCTGTAAAGAAGGTTCTGATCAACAAGAAATTTGAATAACTGATAAATATTAATTATTTCGGTAACCTTTGATACACAGCAAAGTAGAGTTACAGTTCTATAATTGGATGAAGTGTTTTTATCATTCTTTTCATGGATTGGTATGGTATTACCACGTTTCCAACAATCCGGAAATTGTTTGGTCAAAAATATCTTATTAATCAATTTGGACGAAGGAAATGCAAGGGCAGGTGCCGAAAGTTTGAGCATACTATTACTTATCTGGCCAGTTGCTTTATTTATATTTAGAGACATCAACACTTTAAAAACCTCATCTCTATTTGTGGTAAGCAAATTAATAGACTCATTTGTACGCTGGTCGAGAATTACAGAGTCAAAATGATCGCCAATAAGAAAACTTTTAACGAAATGCATCAAGAAAATATTTGCTTTCTCTTTGTCCGTGAACAGTCTTGAAGCGAAATTCCAAAAGGATTTAGATCCAAACTGTTGGGGTTCCATTTTATTAATAGTCTGCTTTTCATGCTCATATTTGGCTCTAGAGATTGCTTCATCCACTATATGACACTGTTGAAACTACTGTTGAAACGACACCCTCAAAATTTTGCAAAGCTGAAACAAGAGATGGCACAAATTATAAGAGCCATATCCAGGAATGAATGCCTACGTGTTGTCAATTTGTTGCTCGTGGTGTAAACATAGTTTAAACAAGCTTGAATGTAATAAAAATTATTCTAGTATTGAGTCAACAAGTTTAGCATCAATATCTATGCGATAACCACGACTTTGAATAAGAGAACGAACCCTTCTATCTGGGAATGCTTTTAAAGAGTCTCCTGATGTACTACCCAGGGATATTAACTCATGCTCTATGAACTGCAATAACTAGCTCGCGGAGGTTGGTAATTAGGAGGCTGTGTATCTGACAATCAATATAACACCACATAATTTCGATAAGTGATTGGTCGGCAGAATATGGTGGCTATCTCACTTTGTTAATGCTGCATTGAAAGAAACACTCTTCCACCTGATTCGCAGTATGAATAGGAGCGTTGTTCTGTTGAAAGACGTATCGCTGCTTTCTGTCAACGAATATCTGATCAATGGATGGTAAAAGGTTGTCCTGCAAGATATTTATATACCCCCCTTCCGTTATGAATCCAGGGACCGTGACTAGCTCCACAAACACCATGATAACCGACACATCAGTCCTGTCATCATTTTCTCCGTAAAATTACTTTTGAACAATGTGTATATCCAAAGCCGGACAACATTTGCCCATTCCAATCGTCGTTGTGGTATGAGGGGAGAAGTATGGCTTCTGTTTGGCTATACAACCATACAGACATATGCTATGTAACCTGAAAGAAGACATTTTATTGAGCATATAAAACCAGCAGCGCCGGCAATAGTTCGAAATAATAGCATAAAATTGATGGATATTATCAAGACGTTCGTCAAAGTATACCGCCTGATATTTTTCAGAACTCATTTCATCAATAAAAATTAAAATAATATATCTCACCAAACCGGTATTCTCTTTTTAAAAATGGCACTTTCAATATGTGTCCAAATCATGTACCCTCGTCAAACTGAACGAAATAAACAATACAACTGCACTACTGCATTCAATAATTGTAGGTTATAAAGCTTATTATTTACTACACAATCACCTTTGTGAAAATCTCATAAAAAATTGTTTTTGAAAAATACCGATTTGATTCTTCAGCAGCGCGGTTATTATTTTATAAATCTACAAACAAATATTTCATTCTATTTTCGGGAAATACCTGTGGCACTTTTACAAGATAACATTTCACTTGTCAGATTTCACATGAGTTCATAAAATCTGTCCTGTGTAGTCAACCATAAATATATTTTAAATCTGCTGGTATCAAATTAACCAAGAGAGATTGCTCTTTAAGTATCCAATTGTGTTTTAGGGTAAATGCCCAAAATTTGAAAGATATTGACCATTTTGTACTTGTAACATTTTTTGAGTCTGTATACACAATCCTAAACCACTTTACACAGCAGGCAATTGTGTATATTGAACAAATTATAATTATAAGTTTAATTTCTCAGGTCCATATAGTAAAATGAATGCCTTCTGAACTAGCACTAAAACCCCTAGAACTGGCCCGGCAAGGTGGTAATAATATATCTTTAAAACCGTTTCCAGCAATCTCTTACGTCCTATATCCTGCGGTGTTATGTGTGATGTACGGAGGTTTCTGTATTCTCGTTACTAATGTACAACTTGGAAATCTTCTCACGAAAGGGCGCAATATCATGATATGTATCATGAATGGATCATTTGATTCGAGTTCGTTCATCACACTTGTTGTTAAAGTAAGTGTACATGTATTTCTTATTACTAAATGATTTTTTGATATGATTGGGCGAATATTATGATACTTCACAAATGTATCACAGAAACGTTTACCCTATGTACTTTAATTAAATGATGAACGTTCAAACTAATAATACACTTTGATTATGTTTTTAGTTACTATATAAAGGCGGGGTAACTCTTCGAGTTTCATTTATAACTATCAGTGCCACCTATATCATCTGTCTCGTAAGTACGTGCCTATGGTTACCACGGAAAATTATTCCCTATCCATTATCAGACGACTTCGAAATGAAAATTCGTTTCTTGTGTAAACCTGCTGCTGTAAAAAAGAAAAACGAAAAACAAAAAACGTTAAATGATGGTAAAATTAATAACGCATTCGAATTAGACACCAACAACAAAAGCGTTCAAATTGGTGCAAAATGTCAAAATCTTAGAGTATCAAATGCTGAGATGTCAGTTGATGATATAACACTGAATAAAGAAGATGGTTACTCAATGGAGCCTTCACAATTGCAACCTCTCAAAGCTGCCCTACTGTCATCTTTATTTTGGACCGATGTTTTATGGTTTGTATCCAACAATCTTCGAGTAGCTTTCTTCTTGGGTAATTTCAACTCATGGATTACATTCCTGACCAAAGGCAACACACAGAATGGTGAGTATAAAAGTATGACAATGCAGAATAAACCGATATTTGGCATTTTGCAGACAGTTGTGACGGTTCACTCAAGAGAATATATAAGCACGAGTGCCAAAGGGAAAGGATCAAAAGTTGTAATGGAACTTAGCAAGAAAAAACAAACTCTTAGTGCATACAAGTCAAGAAAAACAAACTCCATATATCCCAAAACAATGATAACATTGAATTAACTAATATTATCACATGATTTTCTTTTTAGTCAGTCTGTACACATCAGTGTTTTCGTCTATATCATTGACATCGATTATTGTTAGCATTCTTGCCGGCGCGATAATTGACAGACGGACAACGGCCCCTGTTGGATCTCTTGCTTTTAAATTAGGTAAAAATATACATAGGGGACAGCGAGGCAAGACGGATACCCTCCGAGCAGTCATTTTGAACAGCTTGTAAAAATATTTTGCTCGGGTTTCTGTCCGCTGAACCCATGTTTATCGAAACAGTGAACATTAATTGGTTCTCTGAATAAATTTTTGAATTAAGAAAAACTAGTATAGACCGAAGAGCAGGACCCCTGATCTGAGGTCTATATTACGATTCGAACATGAAAACTCAACAAAATGTTTCGGATATTCATTATGATCCGCCATTACTACGACCCGCCGTTATGACGTCACACATTACACGTATTACCAGGGGTAGTCTTCGCCAATATACCAGTAGGACGGCACATTGAAAAAACCCATTGTTGTTTACCAAACTTTATATCAAAGTGGTGTAACGATATATGACGTCATCGCACTACATGTTTCTGGTCCGTTGGCTACCATCTTTATGAGGTCCATTGAAATGGTAAACATTTAAACATTTGAAAATGAAAGAGACGGATAGAATTCTACTGATCTCTTCTTTCGAACTATCTCATTTTAATGTTAGAAAAATGCACATGAATGGGAGTAAAATGCAATCAAACACGTGAGACTTTCACTGATTTTGTACCCTATATTCGTGCGAAATTAACATTGATTAAACATCGTTTTTTTAAATGTCTGAATCGCTTAAAAGTTAAAGTAAATACGATATTTTATAAGTACCAAATATCAATCAGTTCCGATAAAATGCCTTCATTTGTTACATTTTCTGCGAAAACGGTTGCCCATAATTTCGGTAGAAATGTGTATTTTATGACGTTATATGCATGGTTGAATCAAAAAAGTAGCGTCATTCAGAAAATTATCATGTGTGCGTAAAAGCATGTGGATATTTCATTTTGAGTAACTGAATTATCAAATTGACATATATATTGTCTTTGGAACATCACCTTTACACAGAATTATTTTCATAATGATTGCTCGTTTTGTTCCATGATTAAATGCTATGTTAGACCTGCAGCTGACTCATATCAAAAATTATTTAGCAATGAGTTCAGGCTCACTGATTTTTAAGATAGATGAAATGAACAAAAAGGGGAAAGGTTATGTGTGCGGTAAAGCATGTGGATATTAAACTTTCAATAAATGAATTACAATTTTGATGTTTATATGATCTGAAGAACATCACCTTTACACATAATTATTTTTATAATAATTGTTCGATTTCTTTCATGATAAACTGCAATTTTAGACCCGACATGTATTAAAGAAGTATCGGACAATGAATTAAGGCTCACTGATTTTTAGGATGAATAAAATGAGCAAAAGGAGAAAAGGTCACGTGTGCGTAAAAGCGTGTCAGTATTTGGATTTGAAGAAATGAATCTAAGTTTTGACATTAATATTATTTGTGAAGCATCACCTTAACATAGAATTATTTTTTATAATTTTTGCTTGGTTCCTTCCATGAGAAAATGCAATTATAAACCTGGCACGCGTATAAAACAAGTATTTTGCAATTGCGTCCAGTCTCTTTGGTTTTCAAGGTAAATGAAATAAGCAAAACTGGAAAAGGTCATGTGTGCGTAAATGCGTGTCATTATTTAATTTTGAAAAAATGAATTAATTTTTTGACATTAATATTATTTGTGAAGCATCGCCTCTACGCAGAATTATTTTTTTAATTTTTGCTTGGTTCCTTCCATGAGAAAATGCAATTATAGACCTGGTACACGTATCAAGGTTGTATATATAGCAATTGCGTTCCGTCTCCTTGGTTTTCAAGGTAAATGCAATGAGCAAAACTGGAAAAGGTCATGTGTGCTTAAAAGCGTGTGAGTATTTAATTTTTGATAATTTTTTTGACATTTTTGACATTTATTATATCTATGGGGAATCATCTTTACACAGAATTATTTTTTTATTCAAATTTAGTCCCTTCTATTAGAAAGGCATGGCTAAGAATGGTTCATATAACTGTAATGAGATTTTTATGTTTGAATCGCACAAAAAGAGATAATGTCACATGTGCGTGAATGCATGTCAATATCTTATTTTAAAAACTGAATTATGATTTTGACATTTTCATAAGCTTTAAACCATTGCCTTTCCACATATTTATTTTTTTAACATGAGAACTTTAAATACGTTCTAAATAAGAAAGGCCAATGTGAGTTGAATTAAAATTAAAAAAATATCAATTATCTGCGCATTTTCGTTATATTACGTCATACGGGATTTCGTGCTTTAAGTGGGCTGAAAGTGAAGAATGGCACGTGTATAAAAACGTTTGTTACCAATTCATCTTTCAAAACACATTTTTATTTTTTACATATCTATGATCTATGATATATAACCTATGTAAAGAATTATTTTCAAATTAATTGCTAGGTTAATTCAATAAGCAATTCTGAGGTATATTTGAACTTTAATTCCATAGCAGATGTAATTCGGACAAAGGTTTTAAAATTCAAGAAGAGATTAAATCAATCAAAATAAATCTTATGATTCAACCGAGTCGACAATACTTGGTTCAGTTCTTTCATTTTCAATCATACCATGGTCATAGATTAACATAAGTGACCGTTCGAAAACATACCATTTTTGTAGAAAATGAAAGAAAATCGCGTTATAACATGTATCGAGTAATTGCCAAGTTTACGTCTTAAGTTTGATGTGGTAAACAGCATTCTTCATTAAGTCACACATATAAGTTAAGGGAAGCAAAAGATCATTTTAAAAATGAAACATATCAATAGATATTTTTAACATTGAAATACTTTTAGAAAGTAAGCGTATACTAGTAGATTTGCAAGAACTAGCTGTTTGGAATTCATCAACTTTTCTCCACATGATCATTTCATCGTACAAATGCAGGTCATTCAAAGGAAATGTAGGTTTCAACATCCCCGTCTATGAATATTGATCTTTTTCAGACAGCAAAGGTAAGTTTGAAACAGAAATACTTCTTACGAATCCAAATTACATATTAAACTTAGAATTGTGATCTACGATCTTATGGGTATGTCACAAATTTGATTAGATACATTCGCTCAGCACGCCGTTAAACATATAATTAACTTCACAAGCGTAACTATAGGTAACTTCGATTTTAGCATGTTCGAGTTCAAGTTCTGTAGTCTCGAGAGTCAAACGATTATCATAGTTTATTTGGCCTGCTTTTAGAATTGGGAAAACAAAGGCAAGGTTTATGTTTTATGAACATTCTGATTTGATAGCAAACTTTATTTTTGAGTGTATTAAATCAAATAAAGCTTATTGCGTCGGGACCTGTACGTTCGCCCAATTAAAGGAAAATGTGCCGTCAATTAAAGAAACATGCACAGTGGTACACCGTTTTTGGAAAACATAACACTGATAATAGAAATTCATCAATTGTTATGAAATTTGCACCATCATTAAAAGGAATCTCGAATTTCATGATGACAAAATATCCGATAAATATGACAAGAAATAAAAATTTGTTACATTTTTTCCCAAAAAGTTGTAAAATAAAAATAAACTAAAAAAATAATATTTTCACGACAAAAAATAAATAGTTCAACTGTTTTGATTCTACATGACGTTTTCAAAGAGTAGAGAGCTAGATTCAAAGCACCGTTCCTGCAAGTTTCAAATGAAAATATTAAAAACTGCGCGAGTAAGAGGACCGCAACTTTTTATGTCTACACTGACAAAAACTTGAAATTCCCGTTGTAAAGATATAGTCCCACGCGGAAGTGCACGTCATAAAGCTGATGGGTTAAGGCAATGTGCCGTCCAACTGTACCCCGGGTGAAATGTTGACTTTGTTTACAGTTTATAGAATGCGTGAATACAGTCATTTTCGAATTGCTAATATGCCCCTCACGATTTTGTGTGGTCATGGGGCAAGAAAGGCCCGTAAGGCAAGAAGGGCCGTTCTATCAGAAACCTTCCTTGAATTGTAGGTTTTACCAAAGTCTAACAGAAGTGAGGCACAAAGGGCCACTTTTTGGGGAAAGTGCCACCAATTGAAGCTGGCGCCTAAATGAAACAGTTTTGGATGAGAGAGCAACGTGTGTAACACGTTGCACAATTTGAATTTCAGAAAAACTTCGTCATTTCATTCCAATGTTTTATCTCAACATTGGCCTTGGTGTCCTGCTTTCTGCATGTGCGGCCATTCCTGTGTTAGAGCTACAATACTTTACATTCGTGGTGTTTGTTTTTCATAGGACCTTTATCTACGGCCCCTCAGCGGCATTCCTTGCACAAGCGTAAGTGGATGGAAGTTTGTAATAGTTAGGTTACTTTAAAGCGATTCAACTACATTAGTAGTGAACTGTGTTTTACTTCAATTTAATTTGAAGCTCTTTTATTCCTCAGTCACATTCTTACATCGATTTTGAAATAAATGAAATATCAATTTTAGATTTCCAGTTGAACATTTTGGACGGCTTTATGGTATTAAAATAGTGATAGGTGCCATAGTAGGTTTGTTGCAGTACCCTCTGTTTATCTGGATCAAAGGACCACTTAAGAATGATTCCATGTGGGTGAGTACATTCATGAATAAACAATTATTTTCATTGTAGCAGTTTTACCTTTGGTTTTGCGTTTCAACGGTCAGTAAGATATCCATGGTGATAGTATATACATACGTATTTATAAATATTTGTAAAATTTATGTTATTTTTATGATAATATAACAAGTTAGGAATGAAATGTTAAAATGCTTCACATTTTACATGGATTATTGATTATTATAAAATACTTAGTTTCAAATTATAATGTTTCCAATTCGATTAAATGTTGATCAAGCCTAACATTTCTCCAACGTGTGTATAAAGATCTGTATTATTATTTTTCTTCTGAAAAGCTTTCATGACCTCTTGACTAAAGAGTCTCTTAACATAAAATTCTCAAAACGTAAAATTACAAACATGATCATCTATCGATTTGTTTCAGGTACACATTCACGCCCGGTGATCGTGAATATGGGACGGAGGGGGGAGCAGGCAATTTCTGCTAGGAAATTCAACAAATCTGGAAGATTTATTTTTTCAAGAAAAAGTTTACTATTGAATTGCTTAATGGATAGGCGCACGGTATGGTAGAATATGTTAGGTTTTCTGGGATTTTTTCTGAAACGATACGCATCTAAGGTATGAGATCTATTAAAAAAGGCGCAAGGCCATCAACAGGCACAAATCAATGTTTTTGCTATAAATCAAGCAACAATGGACTACACGACCTGTAATAAATACTTGTAAGTGATGTTATCATAACTAAATTAATGTCATTGCTGAATTTATAAAATAAGTTTCCATACGTAAAATAAAAAATAATCGAAAATAATTAAAATGGGACGGAGGGGGGGGAGGGGACGGAGGGGGGGAGTAATAATTCTAGAAAGTGAAACAACTTCACACGAATTCTTGTATTTGAAAAATGAACTCATTAACTTAGTGAGAAACTGGATGATATACCCCTGGAGGCTGAAAAATGGGGACATTTGGAGTAAAAGGACTTAAAGTCGCGAAACATCTCTAATCATGTCTTATATACATATTGCTCCCCCCTCCGTCCCCTCCCCCCTCCGTCCCAAATTCATTATTTTCTATTATTTTTTATTTCACATATGGAAACTTATTTTATAAATGCAGCAATGACATTAATTTAGTTATGATAACATCACTTAAAAGTATTTATTACAGGTCGTCCAGACCATTGTTGCTTGATTTATAGCAAAAACGTTGATTTGTGCCTGTTGATGGCCTTGCGCCTTTTTTAATAGATCTCATACCTTAGATGCATATCGTTTCAGAAAAAATCCCAGAAAACCTAACATATTCTACCATACAGTGCGCCTATCCATTTAGCAATTCAATAGTAAACTTTTTATTGAAAAAATAAATCTTCCAGATTTGTTTAATTTCCTAGCAGAAATTGCCTGCTCCCCCCCCCTCCGTCCCATATTCACGATCACCGGGCGTGACATTATTCTCCTTTGTTTTGCCGCTGTGTCCGTTATTCATCCTATCAACGTATGGTTGTATTGCCGGATGAATGCAAGTCGGATACACATACACAGCGAACAGAATAAAGTAAAGGACATGTACGGAGAAGATAACCATACACAACCAAGTGTTCACAATGTCGTTTATAATGATACTAGAAATGGTACACTCATTTGTAATGAGATTTTGCCCTCTGAATGGGAATCCAAGCCATATAATAGCGTCATTGCACATTCATGTACAAATCATCGACAAATTAACGTATGCAGCTTATAGCATGGCACCCCTGTCGTCCTTGATAAAAACCGTATTGTGCATGATCGAAGCAGCTTATTAGAAACGTTGACGCTTTTCGGCCCATGCCAAACCAAATGTGTCCATCCAAGCTATCGACGATCTGATGGAGATACTTCACACAAAATAGTATGTTTTTCCATATGTCGGATCGGGAATTCTAGATTTATCAATTATTTAATGCTTAAGAAGTATTAATTCCCCCATTTTCTGAATTTTTACAAAAGGACTAGTATTAAGATGGCAAGAGATTTTGGACAGCTGTATTTTTGGTCATGGGTATTTCCCGACCATACAATGAACATTTTGTATTAAAACAATATCTTGACTTCAACAAAAGTGCATGAAAAAATAAAAATCTCATTTTAATAATGAGATTAGCCATTGATTAGTAACCCACCTCCTCACTTTTTCAATAATGTTGACCTTATATTGAAAAAGAGGACCATGATTATCAGTTTCTGTGCAATATTAGATTGCAACATTAGTTATCAGTAATCTCATATATAGGAAAATTGGATTGAATTTCTTGTTTTTTTAAGAATTTTGGGCTCTCTCCAAAAAATACTGAAATAATTGCTATGTGATATTTATAATATATTCAACACAAATAGATGGCAACACAGTGTCATAATATTTGGAACTCATGTTTTGTACTCATAGTGTCAGCTACTGAATGCAGTTTATTCATACAGGATTATATGGCATTGTGACTTGCAAACACTTGAGTAGTATTATATCCAAGAGCATTTATATAGAAGGTATAAGAAAATGTTTGAAGGAAACATGCTGATAAAAGTCATGCTCATAGTAATTTGAGTAATGGCTGATGATTGAATGTATTTTTGTTCTCCAGCACTTCACATTGCCTTGACATTATATCCTTTATGTAACCCAATCCCAAAAGAGGGGTGTATAAATTCAAGAATCTGGCAAACTTCATTACACTTTCATTTGGTTGGGATATAGCGAGGTTTTTATTACTCCAGTCTTATTCCATATAATTATATAAATATGGCGAGGTAGAATTGCTAATTATAAATTCCATTCAAAATGGGTTAGTACAAAACATGGCACCGTGTCATGGCACAGGTACACCCTATGGCATAGGCTACGGCACCCCCATGCTATACTGTAGGCACTAAAACACTATTTCGAGTCAAATACTTGCATATTTATGTAGATTATGATTACCCTTACAAATGTCTACCCTTCCAAACATTGTTCTTGAGCCTCTTACTGAAGTTATATTATCTTTCTTGGCATGGTTTGCCATGAATGAACATTTGTAAATCTGAATCAAGTTACAGACGTATGTAGTACGTATTCAAGGACCCATTCTCTCTTTGCCCAAAAGAAAACTTTAGTAAGAGGATCAAGAACAAAAATAATCGAAAAAAAATCTGAATTAGTATTGAAGAGCCAATGACACAGGGGTGCCATAGAGTATGCCATGGCTTAGTGCCATGTTTTGTACTAATCCCATTTTATAAGCCTTTTCTATTTTTATTTTCTAGTCAAAATACGGGTGTTTGTGATTCATTTCTGTAAATGTTTTATTTGTATTTCATCCAACGACATCGCCTCCCATGACACATATACAGGGTGGGCCAAAAAACGCCACTTTTTTTCAAGACACTATAACTTTTTTATTTTCCAACCTACTTACCCCAAATTTTGCAGTTATATAGTGCCAAGGGTTCTTAGTAATAATATAATGTAACAAGTCCTTCAACTGGGATTATATTTGATCTAAAAAGAGGAGTTCAATTGGTCCGCCACCCCATTTGATGATCGATTTTAGTTTTAGTCGCCTTGCTGATATAGCAGTATCAATGACATGTTCGCTATATTTTTTCAACGTGTCTTAATTGCCAGCTATAGTTAAGCAATTTTTTAGATCGGTTGCCTTCATACCATCTCCTGGAGACCTCCTCATACCCTATACTCACTTGGGTTTGAATTAGGGCTATTAGCTTGCGGTCATCAAGGCGTATCAGTTTAGGAACATTATGCAAATTATGCTTATTTCATATGGCACACCACGTGTTTAAGTGAGACGCTGGTGACATATTTTATTCAAATAAAAGTGTATAATTCATGATCAATGGCTAGATAACAACCTCAAGTTTCATTTGGTATATAAATTATGATTTTGTATCAAAAATTAAAAAAGTTATAGCATTTTTTGGCCCACCCTGTATATACACCATAATTGCATATATCTTTCACCTTGAAACAAGTAGCTTTAACTGATCGAATTTTGGATGGAACTGATTTTGGAAACAGAGAACAATTAAACAAATCACTAGACCTCACACAGAGACAAGCTAATTGATTGACATATAGTGATAAAGGAATTTTTCAGATAAGCCTTAATTAAGCTGTTTCCTCCTGTTCATCCTCCAATTGTTTTGATGAGTTTAAATGATAAAAAATATATTCCTGCATTCATTTTCACTTGTTGAAAACTCGTCAACATTACCATTTACTTATTATTGAGGTGTTTAGCAGGGGTCCACAGAAATTTAAAAAATATTAGATTTTGATACTTTTGAAGTTTACAACGGATCATGTACTTATGAATCGGTTTTTGGGAAGGTTATTAACATGACATACTGATTTTATCTGTTTCATTGAAAATAAGATCGCCTGTCTGACTATATTTTGCATTCAAAGTGATTAAAAATAATTGTTCCATTAAGTTCATTTTCTTTTAACATCATCTTGTTTTTTGTTGATCCGCCAATTGTTTTGATATGTTTGAGTGATAAAACATATATTACTACATATATTTTCACCTGTTGAGGACCTGTCAACATTACCGTTTACTTATTATTGAGGGGTTTAACAGGGGTCAACAAATACTTGATTTTGATATTTCTGAAGTTTACAACAAATTTCCTTCTCATTAATCAGCTTTTGAAAAGTTTATTATTATCTATTCACGAGGAATCTTTTAAAACGATTATTTCTTTAAAAAATGGACCCCTGCTTAAATCTCAAATAAATGATAAACGGTACTGTTGTGTGGTCCTCAACAAGCAATGCCATATTCAGTGATATTAAAATCGATATAATCTATAAAAATAATTGGAACTTGAACATGAGGTAATTTTCAAACATTTGTCAATTCCTTTATCACTAATATGCTATCACTTGGTAACCCCCTATCACACCAAACTAGTTCTTACCAGTTCTTGCCAGTCCTACGAAAACGTCGTAAAACGGGCTCAATCTGGCTGTGGTCGGGAAAAAAGTCTAAAATAATTAGCTACTCATAAACAGTCTTCAATACGTCCATCCCATTCTCAGTTCGTTCAGGTGGTTCCACGTCAGTGTGCAACGTCGTATAACGCGTCCCTTAGTCTAGAAGGTCATCATGACCTGATTACAGAACGGTATGTTCGCCATCGAATTTTGAATCGATTCAAAATTCTAAATCACAATCCCCGTCCGGGAAAGTCCATGAAGTTCGTAAACAGAGAGTAGAACGTTGTAGCTACGTTCATTCAGTTCGCACACAGTTTAAAACCGATTCGGCAACATTTTGACGATCACCAGAAAATTTTGAGCATGCTCTAACCCCCCTATCACACCAAACTAGTTCTTACCCGTTCTTGCCAGTCCTACGAAAACGTCGTAAAACGGGCTCAATCTGGCTGTGGTCGGGAAATATGTCTGAAATAATTAGCTTCTTCGTTCTTAAACAGTCTTCAATACGTCCATCTCGTTCGCAGTTCGTTCAGGTCGCACCACGTCGGTGTGCAACGTCGTAAAACGCGTCCCTTAGTCTAAAAGGTCAACATGACCTGATTACAGAACGGTATGGTCGCCATCGAATTTTGAATCGATTCAAAATTCTTAAATCACATTCCCGTCTGAGAACGTTCATAAAGTTCGTAAATAGTTGCAGCTACGTTCATTCCGTTCGCACACAGTTTAAAACCAGTTTTGAAGAACGCAGTGGCAACTTGTTTGGTGTGATAGCTATATTTTTGCTAACTCGTTCATAAGCAATGTTAAATACGTTCTTAATCAGTTTAAACCCGTTTGAAGTTAGTTCTACCTCTTTCTCAACACGTCCTCAGACAGTTCAACTCGTTGTTAAAACGTCCATAGTAGGATTGAAGTACGACGGTTCCGTTCGTAGTACGTCCAGCTCGTCGTTAGTACGTTATCACTCGTTCTAATTGTAGAACGTATCGACGACGAGAAAATTTTGAGCATTGTCTAAGTTATAGAGGACCTACCCGTTCGAGTACGTTCGATGAAGTTTGAAAATAGATCCCAAACGGTTCTTAGTAGGTCCAGTCCGTTCGTACACAGTTGAAGCCCGTTATCGAGAACGTAGTGAGAACTAGTTTGGTGTGATTGTAGGGTAAGTTGTGGAGGACCTACTCGTTCTAGTAGTTTCATGAAGTTTGTAAACAGATCCCAAACGGTTCTTATTGGGTTCTTAGTACGTCAAATCCGTTCGTGCACAGTTTAAGCCCTTTTTTAAGAACGTAGTGAGAACTAGTTTTGTGTGATAGGAAGGAAAGGTGATACAAACGCTAAAAGTTTTAATCGCGCAACTCTGACATTGGCTTTTTAGACACTCATTTTTGAAACGGCCAATCCTCACACAATATGTATGCCTTGGTCACATTTTCGCCGGGCGTCGGCCGATGAGTAGTGATCATCGGCCGATTTCTAAATCGACCGGGCGCCGGTGACATTTCCCCGATGTCTTGATTTCAGATAGCCTTGCGATGCCCGTGTAATATCCT